TGTTTGCATAATTATGGTTTTTGTGTTTACAACCTAATGTATCTTTATAAAAGTCAGCAATGTTGGTAAAATGAAACGCTATGCAGATAATATGAAAATCACATTTTTAACTGTGTTGGATATTAGAGATTGGTTCACCCAAAACTGAATATTGTCATCATTTGCTCACCCTCCATTTGTTTTTAAACACAAAATATGATATTTTGAAGAATGTTGAAAACTAGTAGCCATTGACAACTACAGTTTGTCATCTAAAGTCATTCACTGCTGTTTCAGGCATTGTTCAACTTGTTAAACCACTTGAATTTGAGCAAATGGTAAGTAAATTAAAATTTTTGGGTGAATTTTTTTTTTATTAGTGATTAAATTCTTAATCGCGGTACCTCATTCACACTACGAGCAACTGTTCATTTCAACAGAGAGTGACCTCCATCTATGTGAGTCACAGCGAACGTTGGCAACCAGGTGGGCATGTCGAGCAATGCGAAATGAAGAGGGCACTCTCCTGCAGAAACTTCAGAATAACACAAGGAAGAAACTCTTTATATTGTGGTTAATTCTAAAAGGGATACAGCCGCAGATACTCATCAGTATAGCATAATCTTTGTGACCGTGTACAACAATAATTTATATTTTTACATATGGCTGAGCAATATTGCAAAAAAATAAAAAATTATTAGTTTGAGTCGCTCCTAAAGGCGTCTTGCAAGTCGCATGCTTCCATTGAAAATGACAAACTTTCATAATAAGCTTGTTGGCATTGCTTCCAAGGCGCAGTCTTAGCAGCCACATTTTAGTAAAACTATAGCCTCCATACCAATACCAAATTTTTTTTTATCAATATTGACAATGGTGTTCGGTCAATAAATATTAATACCAATTTTATCGCCTAGCCCTATTTTTACATTGCTGTGAGCATCAGATTTAGGGTTGGGATAGATGTAGACGTTGATAAAATGAAATTTAATGGGTCATTTAATAAATAATATAAATAATTACTGTTATAATTGCTGTTTTTACAGTATATAAATTTTTTCGTTAACTTCCAACTCCACCTGTATATCTTTAAGCAACAATCTTGTATTATTGTATTATAAACATAATTGTTAACCGTTTTCAGAGTGACTAATAATCACGACTACACAACCATCTCTCTGGAGAATTTATTTCCAACACTCGACTGAAGTTATGAAGGGAGATTAGAATGAAAATTATATTATATATGGTAATTTCACATGCAGCATTTACTACTACTCTGAGCCATAGTTTATTGAGCAGCCATGCAAACAGCTGTCATTATCACAGAATGACTATCTCAATGTCATACCGTCCGATTAAATCAATTTTGATTTTGAAACAAATTTTTGTGTAGCTTATCAGTGAACTACAGCCATGCTTCTCTATCAGTACATGCTGAAGGTTTACTAGAACTGGTTTTACTGATAAAAACACAAGAAAATTGTCTTCAATTATTCATCCAGCCTTAACTGTATGTGAACTGGGCCGCAGTATTATTCTCAGTTCAGTTGATCTCTGGCCACTATGCACGTCTTTCTTTCTTTTTTCTGCGTTTAACGCCCTCTGATTGATCTTGACAGCTTTTGAGATGATTTATTGAAAGCTGTGGGTGTAGTTAAATGTCTTTTTAGGTTGCCATTTATCAAAATAGCAATTTAGCATGCAATCTGAGTCATATTGAATGTATGTGAAGTTTATAGTCCTAAGTTATGCTTGAATGATGTCCAGACTCCAGAACAGAACTGACCATCAGTCAGTGCCTCTATACTCTCCATGATTGTTCTTAGTTTAGTTCACGTGTTTTTGCAAGGATACAGGAGTGTTTTTTTTTTTCTTTACATCAGTTTCCAAATGCATGCATGACTGATGTCATATTTTGTTTTTCTCTTTAGCTCTTCCTCTTTTTTAAATATTAGTATTATTTTATTACTCTGTTGTGATGGTTTCTCCTTGTGACAGAGATGAGGGCAATGTCACAAAAAGGTAGAGGAAGCATCGACACTTGCTGTCACATGAACTGGAAATAGAGCATGAAACAAGCTTTTTTGTTTTCAAAAGGGAGTAAAAGGAGGCGCTTCACCATCAGAACATTTACATTTTATTAAGTCAAATAATTTAATATGCATGTTTGTTTGCCATTTTGTTTTGATGGATTTTGAAAAAAAAATTATAATATTGAAATATCTCTAAATATGTTGTGCTGATTTACTGATTTATTTAATGACATTGAATCAAATAGAATAATATGAGTTTTTTTTGTCATTTTTTAATATAAATAAATTTTCTGAATTTATATATAAAAATCCTAATTCATTAAAACACACTTAAACTATTTCAGTTAAATATACCATAAAAAATATCTAATTTATGAGCTGTTAGGCATTTAAAATCATTTTTATCCAATTTGATTTGATTGATTCATTTTGAACAGTAATCCACTCTTAAAAACAATTACTCAAACATAAATACATTTTTCTTCATAATCAACAAAACCTCTTTATATCTGTGTAAACTTAAAAATAACAATTGATTGTAACCGGTTTGGAAATTCTAAGAAGTTTAATATTTAAATCTTAGTAATTTACAAATTACTCTCATTATTGGGGGTATTTTGTTGCATATTTTATTTTATTCATAATTGCAAAGTAACATAATTGCATATTCTATGAGTTGCTGCTGTTGCCATTTAATTGATTTTTTTTCTTGTTTATTTTTTAATTTCTTATTAGAAATTATTTTTTTCTTATTTTAAATATGTTATCAAAAAATATAATTTTTTAATTGTGAAAGTCTCTTTCTAATTCTTTATTGTTTGAATAATTCCTATCACAAAAAAGATCAGAGTTTCTAAATAAAGCTACATTACTAAACTGCATTTTAACTGTATTTTTAAATATCAACAAAATAGAAATTTTCATGTCTTAAAAAAACCTTAATGTCTTAAATTTCAAAAATAAAACTTTAGGCCTTAAAAAGTCTTATTCACTTAAATATTGAGATGTAGGTCTTAAACCATTTTAAACAGGTCTTGTCCAGGTTGTCATTTATGTAAAGCTACCCAATCGATCCAACACGCATCCAATCACCAACACCATCATCTCTATAAAACTTTTAGCAAAACCTTTCATAACTAATATTATAACAATCTATTTTGTATACATTTAGTTTTTTAAGAGTTTAAGTTATGTTGAAAAAAATGTATGTTTACAACTAGGCATGGGACGGTACAAGATTCTGACGGTATGATAACCTTGGATAAAAATATCACGGTTTGACGGTATTGTGATTACTACTCTAAAATATAGTCTTTTTAAATCTCTGGGTAAAAAACAAAAATGTTTTTCCCTTTTAAACACAATATATTTTATTTTGAGAAATATTTTAAGTATATTGGAGCATGAAACATGTCAGAATAAATAATTCAAATCAATCATTGACTTGTGCATATCTTTTCTGCTGGAGATACTGTTTTCCTTAAAAACAAACAAAAAATATAAATAAAAAATGTAACGCATACCTGTGGAAGGATATAGCAGAAAATATTGGTGGTTTTAAAACCTTGACTTTTCCATATTTGGTGTACCCTAAAATCGGTTATCATCCCATGCCTATAAACAACTAAGGTCTGCTTGTTTTGACACATTATTTAAAATATCTGGCTAAGAAATGACTAGTTAGATTTCTTTTGTTCTGCTGGCCTATTAAAAAAGGAATCCTTAGCGTTTATCACTATAGAAGTCTGAAATTTCATTCTTCATGGTCTTACATAGGTCTTAAATTTGATTGGGTGAATTGAAGTTCAAGACATCCATTGCGGCACAGTCCAAAAAAATTACAACTTTAACTTTAAATGTGATAACACTTCGTACAACATATATAAAAAATTCCCAGAAAAATTAAAACATCTTCTTTTACACCTTTAAAACAAGAATCAGTCAGACAAAGGAGTGTGGCATATTTGTGTAAAGCGTTGTGTAAACCTTCATAAATCTTTCTCTTTAATCTTTAATGTGTCGTACTCTTGTGTGTATCTGTTTGTCCCTCCTTGTCTTTTTCCTTTGTTTAACGCTCTCTGTTTCTCTGAACATGACTTTTGCAGACAGGTTGACAAAAAATGGCTCTGATCGTTTCCTGAGGAAATTACACCCACTTCCTCTCTCTCTCTCTCTCTCTCTCTCTCTCTCTCTCTCTCTCTCTCTCTCTCACTCTCTCACTCTCTCTCTCATTCTCTCTCTCTCTCTCTCTCTCATTCTCTCTCTCTCTCCGTCTCTTTCTCTCTTTATGCTTGCCCTCACTGTAGACGCAGTGCTTTGGAAAGCTTTGAAGATCTCATAGTCTTGGCTGATTAAAGCCGCTGATAAACCCCTGAACACAAACACAGCTCCATTAGCGGTTATTTTAGGCCTTTGCTATCACACCGCTCCAGTACAGAGGACAAGGCCATTGTCCCAGAAGCTGCATGCACTAGTCTGGTATGCAAAGACATCCCCCTGTTATCTGCTTATTTTTTTGTCTGAAAGTTGGTGGACTTTCACTGCGGCACTCAATGCCTAGTGCTCATTGCGATTAGATCATAAAAAGCCTTTGTTTTGTATCGGAGAATAAATAGACAAACACATTGGCAGAATAATGAGCGAACAAACCTTTTTTTCAAATCTCTCCTGCAGTAAAGATCTCGCTTCTATTATTCTGAAGGCAAAGGAACAAAGCAAATAAATCTTTTGGCCGCAGAGAAAAAAAGAAAATTCAAAACCTTCCTCATTGATGGGTCGTATCTGGCTCTAGTTTTTCCACATCGGTCTATCTGTTATTGATTTATTGGGCGATCCTGATGCTGTTGTTCTCCATTCTTGTAGGTTTGTATCGGACGATTCAATCTGCTTGGCTTCTGGCAGTATTTTTGGAATTTGTTTCACTTTGTGTTTGTATTGATTGTTTTGTTGATAAAAGATGCAGTTCTTTATGATGTCATGTTTTTTCAGGAGCTCGGTTTGCTGGTGTTGGTAGGACCTGCGACAGCATGGATTACGAAGACGCCCATAATGGGGTAAAGGCATCTACAGTTGCTTGTATTTGTTTGTTTCCACTCACTCTTGATGTTCTTAGAAGTGGCCTGTATCTGATTTGGTAACAGGGATGGTGTAATCAGGTTCCATCATTATGACCAAACTGGCTAGAGCAAAGAGCATTCAGAGGAGTTTGAGAATTAATTATTCTTTTTATTTCATTTTAGGAGTTATTTTTACATTTTTTAAATAAAGTTGAATATAAAACCTATTTTTACATATTTTATATAAAGTTTAATAAATAAGCTTTCGGTTGATTATATGATTTGCGAAGATAGAGCAATATCAAAACTTTGGGGTCAGTAGGATTATTAAATGTTTTAAAATAAGCTTCTCTTGCTCACCAAGGCTGCATTTATTTAATCAAAAATACAGTACAAATTGTAAAATTGTGAAATGTTATTGCACTGTAAATCAAAAAATTGTATCAAAGCAGCTTCACATAAAAGATCATAGTAAATTGAAACAGTGACAGTTTAGTTTTCAGTGTTTAAGTTAAGTTCAGTTCAGTTGTTTTAATAATCACTACTCAGAGTCCAAACACTGAAGAGCAAATCCATCGATGTGTAGCTCTACAGATTCCGAACATGCAAGCCACTGGCGACAGCGGCGAAGAAAAAAACTTCACCAACAGTCAATAATGACTGCAGTACTAATTTTGTTTGAAACTACGCACAGTAAGTAATAATTAAATAATTAATTAAGAAATTAACAATTTAACTTTTTTTAAATTTAATAAATGCCGCCTTGATGAACAGGATAATTTTATTTAACATATTAAATAAAAAATAATAATAATAAAAAAAGAAACTGGACCTCAAACTTTAGACTTTTAGTGTTTATAATATAGAAAGAATTGCCTTAAGTAGTCTAAATTATGTTCTTTGCAATCCATATTAATAATCAAAAATTAAGTTTATAATTTTTATAGTTTTACAATATATTTCCCTAGAACATGATCATTAAGTATTATTCTAATGATTTTTGGCATTAAAGAAAATATATTTATGATATAACATTTTCTGGAGGGCTATTTCCAAAAATATACATTTGCAACATAAGATGCAAAAATACGGCTTTGTCATCTAAGGTCACATATATTTATTTTTATTCTAAAACTGCACTTCTATATTCTTAAACAAATAATTTAAAATAATTAATTTTGTTTCAGATTATTTCAATTAATATTTTTTCCATATATAAAAACATTTGAAGTTATCTTTGGATTTATTTGAATGGTAATAAATTATTTATAACACCTCACTATTTTCTGTTTATGCTTTTTTTCAATTCTAGACGGGGTCTAGTTGTGTTTTTCTAATGTTGTTTAGAAGGAACCACAAGACTCTCGTTCTCTAAAAAATGCTGGGTTGTTTCATAACAAATATGAACAAACACAACTACTGCTTAAAAGGGATAGTCCCCCCCCCCCCCCCCCTCCCCAAAAATATTGAAATATTTGCCAATTGTTTACTCAAGCTACATAGGTCATCTTTTGTGTTCAGCAAATTAAAGAAACGGAAATAGTTTTGGTTGAAGTGGAGGGTGAGTTGATTTTTTTTTTTCTGGATCTCTTTAAAATCAGGTTAAAATATTTACATTTCAACCCAGTGGCCTTGTTTGTTTAAATAGACAACATATTTTATTTAAAGATGTTTTACTGATGCTTTTTAAAATTATAACCAGAATGAATTTTAGAGTTTTTGTCTTGTGTTAATTTTAAATGTCTGTTGTAGTTTTTTGGTAATTGTACCACTTTTGTTATTCCATTTGTTCTTACCTTGAAGCTAGCCTTTGCTGCTGACATGCCATTAATGGACCCTATTATGCTTTTTAAACTTCAAAGAGAGTTATACTCTATATCAGTAAGCACTGTTTCTGAACTCCCTCAAGTGCCTCAATTGTAGTCCTGTTTTTTTTTATTCTTGCAATGTTCTCCTCACAGTATCTTGACTTTAAATAGCTCCCACACAAGGATCAAGCCAAGGGAACAAGACTTGGTTAAGCTGTGTTAGTGGTGGGTTGTCTTTAAGTCTAAGAGTTTCACAGATCTAATATGTTGATACACGTACCACATTCATTTCCATGTAGCATTACAATCCGCATTAACAATATGTGAGCTTTAATATTCTTTTATGTATTAGACGTCACTTGTGTGCATTTAGCAGTTGATGTGAGCATAGTGTATACTCATGTAAAGTTTTGTGTCAGTGCAGAAAACCACTTATCAAGAGTTTTAGATTCGCCCCATTCTAGAAAGTGTACATTTCATTTGCATTTAAAGAAAAGCACAAAAACACTTAAAAGGAGCAGCTTGATATAATGATCCATGAAGCATTTGGATCTGAAACGTCATATCTTTACATCTTTCACATCTTGCTAAATGGGCATATTAAGAATAAACAAAGAAGTGACTTAATGGGACAGGCTGGATTCAGAAATATTTACATCATTAAAGCAACTATAACAAATCTGTTCAGTGTTTTAAAATAAATGACTCTTGTCTGAGCTATTATGTATTGTTTCTTTGGCCTTAATGACAGGAACAAGAAGAATTATGCCTCACATTTTTGAGTTCACAGAATGGTTTCATTAGTACATGAACACTATACTATCAAGGAAATGGTGAGCTTTTTTATTTGTTAAGGGAATAAAATCTCCTATTAGGGACAATGAGTACACTAACACACAAAGGCATACACTGTCAGACATTACAGCTGCCGAGACGCAAATGTTTCTGGGTGCTTAATAAAATCAGGAATGTGCTGTACTAGGTTGGGCAGCACAGCTGACTCTTTTCTGACTGTCTTGTGCAATGAGTTACACTCCTCCAAATTCTCACCAGCCCGAAGGGGGTCTGGCCTTTCTTACAGGGTCTAGCAGAGTCTGGACAGTACAATGTACAGCCCGTATTGTGGCAGAAACATGTCTGTCTTGACTCTTTCTGCAGGTACACCAGTTTCATCTTGCATTAGCAGTCATCTGATCACAAGTGCTCAGCTTAGATGCATTACTATATTCTTACTAGACAGGTTGCATACAATGATTGTGTGAGGATTCTTCTTCAAAAAACATAGATGGTGTAGTGCAAGTGAATTAGAGTTCTCTCATTTTTGCTTTGATGAGAAATGTAATTACAAGTTTATCTGTTGATCAAAGATTTAAGGTATATTGTGTGCATTGTATTGTTTTGTCTGCCTTTGTTCTGTTGGGATACGCTATACATGTATAAAGGGATACGCTGATCATTATCGGCTGAAAGTGACATTTTTGGTTTTCAGAAATAGAAAAAGATGACAAAAATTAAGCTGAAAAAAAAAAGGCTATGCTGCAGTCTAAAGCAGCTTTTACAACAGACGTGGAAAGCAATGCACTTTAAAACCCATTTTTTTTAATGGCTTGCTCCAAGCAAAGGCGGTTTGTTTCTGAGCCAACCAATGCGCGAGAGCAGTAAAGTCCAGTCAAATAATCAGACAGGACATTTTTGTGTAGTATACTCATTCCTGCTGCTTGCAATAGCGATACTTTGCTGACAAGGCAACACTGTTAAACTGACGCCTCCCTCACTGTCAGAAAATGTTATTGTCAATAAAAATGACAATGATTGTTTTATTGGCTTGTGTGTTGTTTTTAATCAGTGTAAATTAGGGTTGTAACAATATACCGGTATGACGGTCTACCACGATTTGAACGTGCACGATTATCATACCATGAACAATTGCATATCAACGGTTTTAACCCTTAAAGACCGAGACAGCCGCCCGCGGCTATAAATAAGTATTGCTCTTAAATATTTAATAACTTTTGATCCGCTGATCCGATTCATACAATTCAAAGATTGGCATAAAGAAGAGAATCTCAGCTTTCAAGTGCTGTATCTTATCATACATTATGTATCATGCTGTACATAACATTGATTTGGACTTTCAGAGGCTCCGTAATCAGTGCGGTTACGTCATCAAAATTTGACAACGCTGATTTGACAAAGAAACGCTCGTCACTCTGTCTCCGGACAAACCAGACATGATACATTGATGCATTGTCCCTCCTCCATGCCCAGATTGGTTCAAACTCGCTATATCACAACCAATAAGCATAGGTTTCGCTTTTGTTTGTGGAACAACAATGAGCTTTTTGAACAACACGGAATGAGAGATAGGCATACATTTATGCGCGGCTAAATAAAACGCAAAAAAAAAGTTTTGCATGAAATAATTCTTATACTAAGTACTTTTGCATGCACAGCAGCACAGAAACATGACAAAACAGTGACACAGCAAAGACGAACTGCTGCTCTTGCTGTTTTCAAAAGACGCAAATGAAGGTGCAGCTGTTTGTCTGCATTGCAGACAACCATATCCAAATCCATATCCACAGACAACCATATCCATGCTGGCACATAAAACCTAAGGATGTTCCATATTGAATCTAGTTTCGTTATGTAACTATTTATAGTATAGTAAATATTTATATCTATTTTTTACTGAGGATTTGCACCATGTTTATTTGGACTTTGACACATTATTTCTTATTTTCTTATTTTTTTATTTGTTCATTGTAAGTGGTGTTGTTTATAGTAACTGAAAATATATTATTTAGAAAAAGTCAAGTTTGCTTCACTGTTCTATTATTTTGTAACATTTGTAACATACCGTATACCGCGAAACCGTCAAACCGTGGTATTGTTTTAGACGATTATCATACCGTAAAAAATTCATACCGTTACAACCCTAGTGTAAATAGAATTAGCTAAATTTAAAAAAGTCTTACAAAACGACTATATCATTTAATAAAATTTTAATTAATTATTACAAAGCATTTTTGTTTTGCAGCTAAGTGCATCTAAAATTTTAGGTTTTGAATACGTCACAGAAATTTAATTTTAGTGCTTCACTAATTATAATAAATGCATTGTTCTGGTGGTAATAATAATAACTCCTTACATTTTATATAGCACTTTTCAAAGCGTCTTACACAATGGGAGGAATCTCCTCATCCACCACCAGTGTGCAGCATCTACCTCGATGACGCGACGGCAGCCATTTTGCGCACTACACAGTGATGAAACCAGTACTGATATTGGGAGGGTTAGGAGGACATAATGGACAGAGGCCAGTTGACAAATTTGGCCAGGATGCCGGTGTGAAACCCCTACTCTTTTTTTGAAGGACATCCTAGGATTTTTAACGACAACAGAGAGTCAGGACTTCGGTTTAACGTCTCATCCAAAAGATGGCGCTTACTGAGCATATAGAGTGTATACTGGGGCATTAGGACCCACACAGACCGCACGTTGGGCGCCCCCTGCTGGCCTCACTAACACCACTTTGGGCAGCAACCTAGCTTTACCATGTTGTCTCCCATCCAGGTACTGACTGGGCGCAGCCCTGCTTAGCTTCACTAGGCAACCATGTGAGAGTTGTAGAGAGCTTGCTGCCGGCTAGATGTATTTTCATACAAGTACCATAATAATCTTTGGTCAGTAGGCTGAGAGTACATGGTGTTTTTTAGGTATTTAAATGCATTTGTCAACACATTTTAAATTTAAATTACATTATTAACACTAGTATTTTGCATTGTCATGCTGTGTTTGGATTAAGAAGAAATCTTTGACTCTTAACTTTTCTTTATTTGTTTATTTATTTATTTATTTTTCTTATATCTCATTAAACAAATGGATCACCCTAAAGTGAGCATACTATCATCAGTTACAGCTTAGCTTGTGTTTTTCCAAGCCTGTATGACTTATTTTCTTCTGATACAGGTTTTACAGGTTTGTAATAAGATAAGGAAGAGTAAATGATGAATTGTTTTTTTTTTTTGGTGAACTATCCTTTTGATTATTTTGTAAACACAGGCACATTTTATTTGAGAATTAAAAGTTTGCACACAAGGAAACACTAGCTTGATTTGTGCTTGTGTTCATCACAATCACTTGTTTGTTTCTACTCAAGCAAACACTGTTAGTCTGTTGAATTGCTGGAGTTTGACTTGTACAGGGATTTTCAGCCTCTTTCCACTGAGTTATTATTATTATTGCACAACAGCGACAGAGGACATTTGTTCTCAGAGGCTCTCACAGAGAACACTTACATTTACAGCCAATACCCAGATTCATTGGCCCGCGTTATGGAATATTTCTCTGGTTTCTTATCAATGGGTGGACAGAAATATGTTCACGGTTTAGACCTTGTGTGAAATAATGAGCCATATGAATATTCACCTCTGTTTAAATGCTCTTCTAGGCTCCCTGAGCTGTAGTTCAGCATCATGTCAGATTGTTTTTGGAAGTTGCTCAATGCTTTCAAATGTTCTCGTTTATATAGAAACAATCACATAATGGCAGTTTTATGTTACACACTCCATGTAACATTTGTTAAGGACTTTGTTTTTAGTCTGTGGTCATTTTCATATTGTGATGAAACTCTTCTTCAGTATTCGTTTTTGTGTAGTGTTATGTAGATGGCAACAACATTTTTTCCACTTTTTTTATTTGTTATATTAGTAACAGTGTCAGATAATGTGATTTTTGGCTCTTAACTAATTTTGTTGTGAACAAGAAAAATGTCAGATATATATATATATATATATATATATATATATATATATATATATAGTACAAAATGTAGCTCGTTCAATATTAATAGATCATGCTTTGCTTGAGTGTTGAATTTTGTTTATAACTATTCTGGTAAAACAGTTCTGTTTTTTTTTTTTTTTTTTTTTTTTTACCAATAACACAATAAATATGAACATGTAAATGCGTAAACATACAGCACAGTCAATAAGTATTTAATCACCCTGTAATTTTTTAAGATCTCCTACTTAGAAATCACAGAGAGGTCTAGAACTTTCAGCATAGGTCCATTTCTACTGTGAGACAAAATCTAAAAATAAAAATCCGGAAATCACGTACGATTTTTTTTTAAAACAATTTATTAGTAAATTACTGTGTCAAATAAGTATTCAATCACTTGCTTTTCGGGCAGATTTCTGGCCATCAAAAAGTAGTCCAGCTACGCAATACTGATGATTCTAATGTAGTAGCACCCTGTGCAACCCACAATCAGTCAAAAGTCTACGTAAAAAATGGGCAAAATCAAAGAGCTGTTAAAAGAGACGCAAGAGACAAAATTGTAGACCTTCACAAAGCTGGAAAGGGCTACAGGGCAGTTGCCAAGCTGCTTGGTGAAAAAAGAACAAGTGTTGAAGTAATTGTCCGAAAATGAAAGAGGCTAATGTTGACTGTCAATGTCCCTCGGACTGGGGCCCCATAGAAGATCTCTCTTTGTGGGGTTTCAATTATGCTAAGAATGGTGACGAATAAGGCCAGAACTACACGGGAGTAGCTGGTCAATGCCATGAAGAGAGCTGGGACCACTGTTTCCAAGGCTACTATCAGTAATACACTAAGACGTCATGCTTTAAAATCATGAATCGCATGGAAGGTTCCCTTACTTTAGTCAGCCCATGTCCAGCCCCATCTGAAGTTTGCCAGGGACCATCTGGATGATCCAGATGAGTCATGGTAGAAAGTCCTTTGGTCAGATGAGACCAAAGTAGAACTTTTTGAACTCCATTTGTCATGTTTGGAGGAAGAAGGAGGATGAGTATCTTCCCAGTAATACAGAACCTACAGTGAAGCATGGGACTGGAAGCATCATGCTCTGGGGGTATTTTTCTGCACAGGGGAAAGGACGACTGCACTGTATTTTGGAGAGGATGAATGGGGCCATGTATTGTAAGGTATTGGGCAAAAACTCCCTCCCTTAGTCAGAGCAATAAAGATGGGTCATGGCTGGGTCTTCCAACATGACAATGACCCAAAGCACACAGCCAGGAACACCAAGGAGTGGCTCCTTAAGAAGCATATCAAGGTTCTGGAGTGGTCTCCAGAACTAAATATAATAGAAAATCTTTGGACTACCCTGAAACCTGACAGATCTAGAGAAGATCTGTATGGAGGAGTGGACCAAAAATCCCTCCTGCAATGTGTGCAAACCTGGTGAAGAACTACAGGAAGAGTTTGACCTCTGTAATTGGTCATCAAACTAAAGGCTTCTGTACAAAATATTAAATAAGCATTAAATTCACATAAAGTGATCTAATGCTTATTTGACGCAATTATTTACAAATAAGTAGCCAAAAAACATACAATGTGATTTCCAGATTTTTATTTTTAGATCTGTCTCTCACAGTGGAAATGCACCTATGCTAAAAATTCTAAGTATGAGATCATGAAAAATCACTGGGTGATCAAATATTTATTGACCTCACTGTATATGTGTAATGACATTTTTCTGCATTCATGTAGGTTTTATCACAGTCAAGTGAATATGCTATTCTGTAGTGAGTGGCATGCACAGTAATGTTAGCTTGCACATAATTACAAAGCCAATAAAAACAACAAAGTAATTAATATTCACAATAAATATTGCACACACACCTAAAGCAGATACTCCATTACTTAATCCTGATACCAATACCAATACCAAACATCCTGAAATCATTTTCTTATTTCACCATGATTAAAGTTTGTGTTCACCACTTTTGTGATGAAATGAAACACAAACAACGAAATAAAACAAAACTTGCTAGTTCTTTTAAAAGGAAGTTCTAAAGTTTCCCAGATTTTGTGCATTAGTCATCGTCCACTATGACACAAATAAAAGGATTGACTATTGCTTCCCAACACCTACTGTCATTTACGGATCACGTTGACGCCCTACTTGCTGATATGTAATCTGGCATTATCAACACTTCATCCTCTATTGAGTGTCATTTTACATTTTCTTTTTGTCCAGAATTGAAAGCTTCCATGCTTTAGTTATTTAGTTATTCTTTGTCACTCAGACTGCCAATTTAAAAGTCTAATCCTATAAACGTCATTGTCCCTTAAGCATGATAATTATATTGTTATTTTATTAAGATTTTGTACTGGTAATGCTCTTTTGACCTTCTCTTTGTCTCTCCACAGCGCGGGCTGTCAGGTGCTCAGGGTTTAAATCCAGTCATGAACATAATCGGAGCAGAGGATGAAGACTTTGAGAATGATGAGCAGCCTGTGAGTGACACTAGCTCTCAACTAACAGAGCTATCAATAGTATAGATTTCAGTGTCTTGACAATTCTTTTTGTATCTTTGAGAAAGAAATGATTGAAAGGTTCTTACTGAATTAGAATTGAATGCAATTCTTGGAAAAAAAACTGTGTTGACACATTTTATAGTGTTTTTCAGTGGTTCTCAAAGTGGGGGTCGGAACCCACTGACAATGACAGAAGGTCGCTTGGTGATTTCCAAAAGTCAAATAAAGAACTTTTTAATAAAAAAACATATTTTACCCATAACCCACATAAGATAAAAATAGTAGTTACAGATTACATTAAAAAGGCAACAACATGCAAATAATAAACCATCAGTTCTTTAATTTTTGTGTTAACGTTAGATTAACAACACAGCAATAGCGTCAGCTACAGTGGATTGGTTTTATAGCATCAGGTTAAACTTTCTAACACCTTTGTAGCAATCAAATGCATTAAAAATGAATACAAAACCACAACAGAACACTGAGAATGATCTCTGATTAGCGGTCTCCGAAATTAAACCATGAATAGACTTGTGCTGAAAACTTTGTGCCCACCGGTCTCATTAGGTGAGGTTAATAATAAATTAAATAAAGTAATAAATGACTACATAAATTATAGCCTATGGATGTTAGACTGTTAGGTGGCGAGATTGTTATTTTGGGGGTCGTGGGCTGAAAAGTTTGGGAACCCCTGATGTAGTTTATAGTGAACCATAGTAGCAGTGCAATAATTTGCAAAAATTAACTGTTTAAAATTAAACTGTACTTTTTATGTATATAAAATGTATATGTAACGTATTCATTAACAAAACGGATCTTAGATTTAACACAACACAAGGAAATAAAGGAATATTTGAATATTTCAGAATTCATGTAATATTGAAAGTTTGCGTCTAAAATGATGTCAGTCCACTTGTTAAGCGTGACATCACATGAAGCGGCTTGCAGGTCCAAGCGCTCTGTCAAACTGTATGGGGAGACTCAACAAATGGTAATGATAAACATTTACAAAGCTATGTAATGCTTTCAAAAGTTACGATCACAATATAAATATCCATGCCTAATATCGGATGGCCAGAGAATGATTACTTTTTTCTTTATAAATTGTTAAAATATTGGTGTCTGACAAAGCAAGTCCAGAGACTCTTGTGTACACCATGATTTTATGTAAAATTCACTTTAATGTGTGATATGACCTAAAATGGCCATAAACGAATATCTTCTCAATTCAAATGAGTATCGACTTGGACCTGGAAACAGTATTTCATGTCACAACTTAACAAGCGGATACAACTTTTAGTGATACTGTTTTCATTTAAGTTAACGTGAGCTAACAATGAAAAATACTTCTAAAGCACTAATTGTTCTTATTTTATGCTAAATACTTTTTGATTAATATAGAGTTCAGTCAAAACTGGTTTATTTTAATATTAATGTATTTCAGCAAACAAAGTAACAACAGTGCTTCCCACACATAGACTTTACTTGTGTGGGCCGCCCAGGTATATTAACGGCCGCCCGAAGATATTCAGTTACACAGTTTTTTATTTATTTGTGTTTTTTACTATTATTTTCATGTCACACTTTATTTTAATAGTCCGTTTGTTGGATTTAAGTTACATTGCATCTCCTTGCGTTCACATGAGTTTTCTCCGCGTGCTCCGGTTTCCCTCACAGTTCAAAGACATGCGGTACAGGTGAATTGGGTTGGCTAAATTTTCAGTAGTGTGTGTGTGTGAATGTTTCACAGAGATGGGTTGCGACTGGAAGGGCATCCGCTGCGTAAAATATATGCTGGATAAGTTGGCAGTTCTTTTCGCTGGGACGACCCCAGATTAATAAAGGGATGAATGAATGAATATTCAAACAGATGTCATTAAATTATATTATAAAATTGAGAGTGTTGTTGTTTTTACTGTATTTCTTTAACATTTAACAGTCACGTATATTATGTATTTATTACTTTTTGTCATTCTCAGATGGTGGACGATCAGTGCATTCACTTTAACAGTATTGAGCTGTTGAAGTCCAGGCCCACCCACCTGCTGGTGTTCCTTCATCATGTCATGCTACAGTTTGACTGTGCTCCTGTGGTAAGAACATACAGGATTTGTGCCTGTTTATTTTGTGCGTGTGCATGCATGCGTTTACTTTAGTATGTGAGGCTCTGTGTTTCCTACATTGCCTCCTGTTCAGCTATGAATGTTACATGTATTCAGTGGGTGTGGGGGTGTTGTGTATGTATCAGTATTATAAAGCCCTTTTCATGTGATTTTTAAAGCATGAGTATTTCTTCCTTTATTTGGCATGCAGCCAATGTGATCTACCCCAGGTACCGTCTCCCAATCCCAAATCCTTCATTTTCTTTTCTTCATTTGATCTCAAAGCTGTTTAGATAGGGTGAATGTTGATGTTTAGATGAAATGTTAATTTGAGTAAGACTTTAAAGTTGGAGTTCACCAAAAACTGAAAATTGCCATTGTTCACTTATTTTATATATTTTAAGGTTTTTCTCTTCTGCTAAACACAAAATGAAATAAATATTTAGGACAGATTTTTCATGTTTTGGTGAACTAGTAGGCCTTATGCAAGGCCCCGATATACTTACTGAAGTTGGATTTTTGCTTTTGATTGAATGTTTTTTTTTCCCCTGAACATCTTTACACAGCTAGGAGATGGGTTAATATAGCATATGATACATATATAGAATACTGTATGTGTGTGATGCTCGCTTTCCTATCTGATAAAATACGGACGCAATAATAAGCAGTGAGTAAGATTTCAAAGCTAATGCATTTACCGTTGCTATTCTATAATATTTAAAGTCACTGTGAAATTTAACAGTGTTTATTTTGCTAGCACACATTGTTATTCTTAAGGTGAGTAATTAATCTGTGCAAGTTAATCCACTTCTGGTTTATGCAGTGTTACAGCCGGCTCTTAAGCTGCACCAAAAAGGAGGACCAGATGCAACAATCGCAGTAACATTTATTTTAACATAACAATAACATAGATAATATAAAGTAAACAAATAGAAGAAGAGTCAGAGCCAAAATGGGACGGTCAACGCAGCTTAACCAAGCTCCATGGCAAGGCGATCATTCGGAATCTCTGTCTTTGTTACGAGCACACCAAACGCTGTTTATATCCACGTCCCAACGAGCAGCACCTGTGTATCAATCACATCATCTCCAACCTGTAACTGAAACACATGCACTCACCGCTGATAGGCTGGGACAGGACACACAGCCAATGCGCCACACTTACTCACAGCCCATAGGCCGGAATGTCACAAATATGCACGTGCACATACACACACATAGCAAACACCACACTCGCAGCCCATAGGCTGGGACGTCATAGCAGTCTTTAGGAAAAGCTGGTTTAGAAGTCTACATTAATTTGGTCTTATAGCTACTTTAGAAACAAACACTGGACATCACAGTCTGAAGCTGCTCCATAACTCTCATTGATTTTTTTTTTTGTTTTTTTTTGTAACAAACATTTTTGTTTATTTTCTCCAGTAAACAGTCCACATAATCATCTTATATACACATGATTACATGCAATAATCAAGAAAGGCTTGTTTAAGGCTTGTTTATCAAGCCTTAAAAATGTCAATTTGATGCCCTGGTTGACACCATACTAAAGTTGGTTCTTAAATCTCCTTTGACGTAAATCCAGCCTATCTTTTTTTGTGTATGTTTTATAAGTAAGGGATCATGTACATCTGTTAGGTTACTCAAAGAATAAAACCTGACAGGCTTATGTATTAGACTGAAGGGCTTTATTCTGCGAATACAACCAGCGAGATGTACATTATCTAACTATTACAAGAACACTTTCTACAAAAGTAAACTTTTATTCCCGTGTCCATTAGATTGGACATCACTTGCCAGTCCATGTTTTTGTGATTCCTGAACATTTCATCTAATTTAAAGCCTGCAGTTCATGAGAGTGGACGATGGTCATTTAAACAAATGGCAAAAAGGCTCGGCTTGTCATTTAAATAAAATCCACTACACTGAAAAGCAGCATGGCATCACTTAACTCCAGACACATTTGCAATGTTTTTATTCAGATTTATTGATATGTTTGCCAATTTTTCTTAGATTGTATGTAAAAAAAAAGAGGAATTGCACATACTAGTTAAAGTTTAAATTCTTTTGTAACATTGCAAGCTTTAGATCTAGATTTTTTTCAAATACATTGGGTTTTGCAATGGGTTCAAAATCTGTTACTAAAAGTAAATCTGCTGATTGAAATCTGCTGATTTGTATATTTAAAAAACTATATTAGTGTTCTAATTCATCACTGAAACAATTTCATATGCAGATTATACAGTTCTTGAACATAGCAGATAGAAATATGTCATATATGGAAATTATAAGAAGTGATGGAAGGATGAAGATAGATTTTGTTATAAACAAGGTGCAAACGATACAACAAAAACTTCAAAATTAAAGTAAAAATGCTACAATGTTCGTGGTTTAGAAAATAAATTTCAATATCATACCAACAAACATCTATTTTTTTGTATTTTATGTTGGTATGATGTTCGGAAAGTACAACAGTTCTGACCTGATGTCCATTGAAATCAGAATATAAATGTATTTACTAATGGTCAAGAAGATTTGTAAAACCCAGATGATCCTCTGTAATTAGTTGTTATCAGGGAATATCATACCTTGGAATGTCATGAATGACTAATGAGAAGCAAGTATTCCAGAGACCCGGTGTAATAATATATTATTAAGCTTGACAGGTTTTGTTTGCTTTCAAAAACAAAAGCTGCTGTGTTGTTTTCATGAATTTTAGATCCATCAATTTGTCCTTGTCATCCTCTTGATGTGTTTTTTCTCACTGGTCAGTATGTGCTTTAAAAGTCTCTAAATTTTTTAAATGTTCAGTTGCCTCCTCATCCACACCATATATAGGTTAACACAGCACGTATCATCATCCCTCTATTCTTGATGTCTAAATCTGTCAATTGTGTTATGCTGCTTTTTCTTTGATCTCCTTCCCTCAATCTCTCTCTCCCTCTCTCTTTCTCTCTCTTCCCCTGTTTTAGCTATGCTACCTTCATGCTGACCTCATGAAGAACCTCAATACCAAAGACACCAAGAAGCACTTTGGGGAATTCTACAACACTTTCCTGGAGAAAGGAGCGGTATGTACACAAGAACAGTTCTAGACGTTCGGCTGTCAAGTTTGTTTATCGCTTTTCAAGTCTGCCTCTTTGTTCTGTCACAGTTTTCAGTATGCTCCTAGTTTCATTGTCTACATTTTTGGTAGAACCATTTAGATTCGTTGGGGAATTTTTTTGAAGCTGTGTTTTATTTATCACACAGGTAATCTGCTGTCTTGTCCTTGAGCTTGTTGTCTGTCAAAGTGAAGATAGCAGTTAAATGTTTACTGAAATAATGAGGTAGATTAAGAATTATACATGGAGAAACACAAAAACAAGAGATTTTTTTAAGCAATTAACATCATGTCTTGAGCATTTTTTAATAATATATATTTTTAAATGTGTTTATCATTTAAAAATGTTTGTAAAAAGTACAATGGTTCCACATGTGAGCATATTCTATGTACACCCTGTAAAGTTTTAATGAGCAACAAGTGCATCTACAGACAGTACAGAAGCGAATGCGGATTTGTTGTTTTGTGTGTGTATTGCATCACTCACTCCTGAAATCACTGTTTTTCATTTATGTTACAGCAATGAAAGAATTGTCATGGTTGTTAATTTCAACTTAGCCACCATTGACAGTGGTGTCATGTTTATTTTATGTTCGCAAGGATGCTTTGCAGAGCCCGCTCTTGTAATGTTGCCATATCCACATATAAGCAGTGTTTATCAAGCATGGTTAAGAGATCAAGTTTATGGAGGTTATGTAGGCAGATGCAGACTGCAATATTTTTGGTTAAGTGACTTATTTATTAACTTTTTTTATGGGCTTATTTTTTATTAATATTTTTCTGAAATGATCTGGCAACCATTAAAGTCAAGTGGAAGACGTATATCATTCTCTGAGATTTCATCCACTGGGATACATGCTGAATGAAGATTCCCATATGCTTTTAAATTCATCACTATAACAACTAGTTAAGATGGATTTTGTACACAATGTAGAATTGTACAAAAAATGTTACAAGATTATTTCTGAAGTTAGTTTGTGCGTGTGTGCATAACAACAACAATAATAATAGTAACAATAATAAGTTCAAATGAATAGATTTTTACAATGCACTTTTACTGTGTAGGGTGTCAAAGCAGCTTAACATAGATAGAGAAAAGAGAATAAAATCTATAATAAAAAAACAAAACAAAAATGCTGTTTTTTTTTTTTTTTTTTTTTTTTTTTTTGAGAATTACATTTGTAACATCAGATGGATTGTAGTTGTAATTTACATTCAGGTAATTTTATTTATTTTTAATGAATTTTATTTTTCATTGACGTGCCGGCATGATTAAGCTTTTGATGCTGTATGTTGAATACATCTAATATAGTCTAAATTATACTCTATAATATAATCAAATTTTAGATGCTGTACTATATATAAATCTAATATGGTCATGATCTACATTAGCTATTTTAGCCAGCGATTTCCTTATAACACATGACATATAAGATCACATCTGATTTTGTTTACACTTTTACTGTATGAAGTTTTTGTCTTTGTCATTTCCCCTGAGTCTGTCAGCCCACTCCTTTCTGCCAGCGTAGCATTTTTATACATTCTTCTTTTAGACATGTCTTCTTTCTCTGTCTCTCATCGGTGTTTGTCTGACCCTAACTTCCTGCTTTGGGTCGTGGGAATGACCTCCCCTGACAAATGGCAGGTTTTTTTTTTTAGTTTTTTTTTTTTTACTGCTTTTCATGTTTGTTTGTTTTTTTTGTTGAGTCTTTCTTTTTATCGTGGTTATTTATTTTGCACTGGACATTTCTTTAAGCTGACTGTAGATCAGTACATTTAACTGCTAACTAAACTCAGTGGGAGAAAATGGTTGTTATTTATAGTGTAGTGACCTCTGGTGGTGCTGCACTGCATTACATGCTACGTTGGAATGCATAAATAAGAATAAAACAGCAGCATTTTGTATAAACTTCTAATAAATGGCATAATTTCAATTCATGTTTATTTCTATAGCGCTTTTACAATGTAGATTGCGTCAAAGCAGCTGAACATAGAAGTTCAAGCGAATTGAAACTGTCACTCCAGTTTTCAGAGTTGAAGTTCAGTTTAGTTCACTTTAGTGTGGTTTAATTATCAGTGTTGAAAGTCCAAACACTGAAGAGCAGATTCATTGATGCGCAGCTCCACAATTCCCAATTTATTTAATATTTATTTTGTCTACACTGTAAAAAATGCTGGGTTCCACACAATGTGTTCCCTCATGATATCCCATCACAAATCAATTAAGTGAACTTGTTAATTGTTTTTGAAATTATTTTTGCAAATTTAAGTACATAAAACAAGATTGAACATAAAACAATTAAGCTGACCCTAAAAAACTCAGAAATTATGTTGATTCTGCTTATTTTAAGTAAGTGGATTTGTTTTAAGTCTTAATATGTTTTAAGTCTATGATATTTATATTTATTTGAATAATAATTATGGAATTGAATTTTGAATGCAGAAATATAGTGCTCTCTGCTAAGTAGAGAATGCTGTGACAAAATATTTTTGTTTCACCTTTTATTTATTTTGTGCAAAATATTAACTCAATATTGCTCAATAATTGCTTAACACAAGCAATTGCAAACACAGCAAAGGTTTACCAAAAACAAATATGTTTGAGGCATACAGTATGTATTGGCAACCCTATAAATTTATTTGAGCAAAATGTTTATGAAGTAGTGTCATTGGTATTTTACATATTTAGGAGTGACTAAGAACAGAAAAATGCAACCTTTTTTTACAGGACTATAAATATGAGGAAACATATGTGGTAAAAACAAAAAAACAGATTGTGTGATTGAAAAAAGGTTATTGGACTTCATAAAATGAGAAGTTGCAATAAGAAAATAAAACACAAAAAATATTTATATAATTAAATAAAGACATTTATTCACAGCTGTCTTTGCTCATATTGAAAAGTTGCCAATATTAGTGAAGGGCTCTGTATTTATGTAAAATACTCGAAGAAAAACATTCAGATGAGAAGATTTTCTCTTTTTTCTAATCTTTCTCATCCAGATTCTCAAAGTATCTGTACCAAGTAACATCGCCCCTGAAATAGGTAAGACTTTTACCAGTTAGAATTCATTCAAATAAAAAGAACTCTGGGCCTGGTGTTGACATTGTGTTAATGCTGTAATTTTATTATATTCATTCACTTCCCCATCTCTCTCGATCTGGTCTTTAAGATCGCTTGCGTCCAGAACTGATCAATGAAGAGCAGCAAAAACGTTACGCTAATGAAATACAGTTTGCGCAGAGTCCAGAGATACTGCGACAGCTGGAAGACTTCAGGTGAGAGTTTTCTATTGATAAGTCTTGGAAATTCTAAATCATCAGTGCCATAGTGTCAAGTGCCATACTTCTTTTTTCCATGTTAGGCAAAAGAGGATGATGGGAATGACACCTAATGAGCGGGAATTAAATGATGTGGAATCCCATCGACCCACTGATCGCATCCCTATGGACATGAAGGAGAAGGCTGTCGCTGAATCCCTGCTGGAAAAGATGGTTGAGGCCAAGTAAGAGCTATAAAATAATAATATCTTTTAATTTAATAGCAATTTAAATTATTTTGATTACGGCTGCATGATATTGGAAAAATCTGATATTGCGAGATTTTATTTTTCTGCAATAAATATTGCAATATAAATACAGTTTTAAAGGATGGTTTGAGTTTGAGCTCTATTAGATGGCTTTATGGGGAGTCTTAACAGTATACAGGTAAAAATCACAATGGAAAAAAAATGCTTTTCTTCTTTTTTGTCTTGTTTCTAATCCAAATATCAAAACAATTTTTAGACCAAGTCAAAATATTGTTTAATTTTCACCGTCAGAAGGAATAAGTGAAAATTAATAGATTTAGCTTGTTTTAAGGAAATTATCTGCCTGTGGGGTATGTGAAATAATCTTTGGCCCAAAAACAAGACAAAAATTCTTAGTAACATTTTTTTTGGCATAAATCATATAAAGTCCATATAAATACAGTGATTAAACACTCAATAGCTAGCTTAGCATTCAAGTTAAGTTATCAGGGTTTCCGCGGGGTTTTAAAAAGTTCTGCAGAAACCCTGGGTATGGTTTATGATTAAAGTCTGCATGAACCAGAAGCTCTGATCATTATATTAAATGAGAAAACAATGTGCGTGGCTTGTTTTTTTTTTGTGAGCTTATTGGATGTAGAAAAGTAGGCATTTCATTCAGAAAAATCAGGAAAGGGCTGTCGGGAGAGTAATTGCAACCTAACAGACACCTCCTCATCATTTCTGTTTGTTGTCATAGCACTGTCAAAACTGACAGATGGAGCGGCATGATTAAGAATATTAACAATGGCCAATAGCTCAGACAGACAAAATATTTATTGTCTTGTATAAGATGCAAGAATGAGGGAATAGAAGTGTCAGTTTATGAAATTAGGAAACCAAGTTTTAACCTATGGTTTGCATAATCTGTTATAACCAAAGAGAACAAAATTTTGCTCAGTATTATAACTGCTGTTATGATGTTTATGCAACACATTATATCATTATTAATAAGGAATTATGCATGTATTTTTATACATTAAGAATAACCCTACATTGGATTATAAATAGAAAGTGTTGCTGAAATATAATACATGTGATGCAATGTTTGAAAAAGTTGTATGACAGCAGATAAAGGGAATATATTTTTTAGGGAATGAGTGAGGCATTTTTAGATGTTTAGTTTTTTTTTCACAAAAAAGGCACAATGTGTATGATTTTCAGCCTTTCTCTGCTTCGAACAACATATGTTTTAAATATTTTAACACACCTATGAATATGATTGCTGCAAATTTAATAATTTTTTTGCACAAACCAATAGGATGTGTTAAAGACGACAACTCACATGATTAACCAAACTACACCTTTGTAGTAGCACATGCCCACTAGTGGAAAAAATGGCATATTGTGCCTTTAAATTTCCATTAATTTTGCATTTCTAATGGGCTATATGCACACAAACTTTTAATTTTCAGCCAGGCAGCCCAAGAGTTTCCGATGAACTGTCTTTCCATTACAAAACTGTCACGTTTAATCGGTCTTGTCTGCCTGTCCGTATACGATATGAAGTGGGTTTTAGATCGGACAAGAAGCACTGCCATGTCTTTAAAATATGACAGTTTGGCCAATCCCAATTCTACCCCTTAGCCCTTCCCTCTCGTTTTGCGTGTTCACTTCAAGGGGTAGGGGTGTCCCAATTCTCTTTAGCTTGAAGGCATAGGGCTAAGGGGAAGTGCTAGAAACCCCTTCGAATAAAGATTTTTCAGGACCACGCTCGAAACCAAGAGTTAAGAAAATATCCCAGAATACACCAGCCACAACGGCAAAATCATTGCACCCGGAAGTCAGGAGATCCACAAATTACTATTTTTTTTAATATTATTATGAATTTTTACGACAAACAAGCACATGTTTTAATATATTCATAACTGTGCTCGTGTTTTACCGTAATGCTTTTAAAAAACAGCTAAAATGGAAATTGCTAAATTTTGTGATCTATAATTCCTATTAATGACTTCTGTATAGCAGTCCCACGACATTTTGAAACTCGATGAAACTAGAATACCCTGTCAGAAAGTCTAGTGGCTGAGAATGAGCTTTTTACAGTGTCTGCTATATCATGTGTTTACATAAATTAATATGGCCAATGTGTAAATAAGCAGTAGAGTTGCGATCTTATTGCCACATTAGATTGTTATGATAACATAATATATGCCTTCAGGGATTTCTTGAAGATAAACACTAAAAAAAAAGCAGCTGGAATAACCACAGCAGTCACGATCGTCTGATCTCATATGAAGCATGAGATCACGATGACATATGATGATGTGTGCAGGTGCTGTAGTGCTGTCCCAATTCCCTTCCCCTTTACCCTCTGTTGTTAGGGCCAAGGGGAAGGGGTAGGGGTACAAAAATAGAATTGGGATTGGGCCTTTATTTTACCCCATTACTTTCAATAGAATTTCTGTTGCTACTGACGGCGCTAGTGTTTACAATGGTCTTTCATCCTGTTTTATGCTTGAACAACTAAATGAATGCATAAGATTATCAAGCTGAATGTTTTGTAATTACATTACAACATCGATGCTTGTGAAATTGAAAATAGTCACCTTAACCTTTCACTGGAAGTTTATCGATTGCTTTAAAACTCTAGCTGTGCATAGAGCCTGTAGTATTGATAATTATTTTGTTATATTCCATTTTATATATTTGGACATTGTTCCACCTTCTGGCCAGTTGTTTGTTTTTGTCATGCTTTACATCAGATTCAAAAAAGCTCTTAGTATGAGTACTATTGAATGAGGGGAAACCGTGGAATTGGACTTGCAAACAACCTGGAGAACAATAAAAGAAATTATGGATGCCAACTACCATACAAATTTTAATTGTACTAGTAATCTGTTTTGGTATAATGCAATAACATATGAAAACCTTGTTTTATTACCACTACACATCCCATATTTATCTCAGGATAGGTCAGTAGACAAATAGTAGGTGGTTCCCAATCACATAATTATACATCTTATTACCAGGTTTAAACTGAGCCTTGAACACTGGAATCTTGGTTGTGAGCGAACCAGCAGGTCGCTCTAGTCATGTCTGTTACACAAAGTCAGATCTTTACTTTCTGTTGCCCACTGCAGTGGCGAGCCTATAATCCAGGAGTTATTTCTTACTGTGTGCTGTGTGATTTTGGTGTTTCCCTGCTGGGTCAAACACCAGCTATTGCAGAGGGGATGAACATGGTTTGCTGCAAGCACTTCTCTTTTTCTCCATTCACTCAAACAGACTATTGTAAAAATCTGCATTCAGCGCGGATCAGAAGCCCCGAGTCTGTCGATATTCACTCACTGGCTGCTAAGTGATGTCTATTGAATGTGTCATATTGCACAGGATCTTATTGCCGCTGTGCTGTTTGACCTCTTGCTGTTAATTCTCTAATAGTCATGTAAGAATTCAGTCCTCTCGCTGCTCTGCTTCATATGCAGTTCAGTTAACAGAACTGGAGATCAGCTGAGGTGTTCATACATGTTTCATTCTTGGCTCTTAAATTGTTCTCTGCTTAAAATGAATTGTCATCTTTTGAAAATGTGGTTAAGGTGACCTAAAATTAACATTTCTAAAAACTGAGATGAGATGTCTTGTCTTCTGTGTAACAGTGGAAAACACACAAAAAGGTATTAATCTCCATGACCAAGCTGCTCGTTTCTGAATAAAATTGGCCAATTGAGGTGTAGTCTCCAGTGCATGACTGGTGTATTGTATTAAAGCGTACAGTATATTGTTTTCATACAGTATTATCGATTCCTACATTTACTTTAAATGTTAAAGATTATTCTAAAAAATGAAATATTATTATTTGTTAATATTATTTTTAATATTAAAATATTTATTATTATACTATTTATTTCTTTAAACTGAACATAACTAAATTTTTAGTAGACTTTAAGTTGTTTACTAAAATATTTGTCATTCTGATTATACATTCACTAAATTCTAAAATCTCATTTTATTCTCACTTCACCAACTACAAACAAAAGCATCTCTGTCTGATTATTATATTTTATTTTTGTGGAGTTTACAGATTTTTGACCAATTTATTGATACAATTCATTGGAAACTTTTATGTGATTTTTTTTGAATATGTATATTTTTTTTCAGATGCAGTGTTGGGAAAGTTACTTTAGAAAGCAAAGCATTACAATATTGAGTTACTTCCCAAAAAAAGTAATTATTTGCGTTACTTAGTTGCTTTTTATGGAAAGTAATGTGTTACTTTACTTTTTCTGACCTGGCTTGATCTCCTTTTAAACTTGCTGTTTTGTTTGTTAGTTTTTTAAATTTTTTTAATAAAGGAGCTCCGCAAATAACAACACACTGTACAACCTTCATTTACCCTTAAAAAAAAAATAAAATAAATAAATTATGTAGGATAATGTTTTATTCAGAAAACGTCCTGATCCCAGAGCTCTACATATCATATATACAGATTAATAGAGAGTAAAATAAAATTAATGTTCATTCAGATAATCCTCTTTTCATTTTCTTGCATGTTCAAAATAATAAGAATTTTCCATCACAGAAATGTAAGACCCTGCCATTTTTTTTGCCTGTTCCTGCATTCTCTTATTGAGTGCGCAATTCAACGTGACTACATTTATTTTCATTCTGCAACGTATTTTTTGCGAATTAGTTCAACTAAAAAGTAACTTGCATTACAATTTTTAAAAAGTAACTCAAATATTAGTACTTTATTTTAAAAAGTAATACGTTACTTTACTCGTTTTTTTAAAGATATATTATTACATAACTCGCGTTACTTGTAATGCATTACCCCCCCACACTGCTCAGATGATATTGAAAGTAAGAAGAAACTAGTTGTGTCTTAAATAATAAACATTACACTTATACACTCAGCCATGTGTAATCCCAAATGAAGCTCATTTTTTTTTTTTTTTTTACTAATTAAATTCACACTATTTTCCAGTAAATGTTTTTACAGTCATGAGCACAACAGCATTCAACATTGGGAGGTGGCATATTATCTTATATGGGGAACAAGCTTACATCTTTTACATGCCTGCAAAATCCAAAATTAAAAAGTAATCCAACTGTAGCACCCAATAGCTCCTTCCCTTCTGCTATGAGCAAAACTTTGACTGTTGAGTTCATAAAGTGTTTAAAATTCCACACTTCTTTTTATCAGTTGAGTAAGTACATCATCAGGGTAATTAAAATGTATATTATTATTATTTTTATTATTATTATTATTATTATTTTGAATGCACTACTTACACTATTTATATTACAAAATGGTGTAGAATACTTAAGTGCTCGATTTGGAACACAACTATAGCCCTCAAATTTAGGTGAACTGCTCCTTTAAGCAAAGAAAGTCTTTAATTGGAAGGGGATCACAGGTCGATGAGTGGGTCTGTAAGATTTACCATTAAACCCCACAGGAAGTGAGGACCCCTATGTAGGAAGTGAGACAGGAGGAGCCTGCTGAGTTTTTCTCCTCCGCTGAACACACACTGGCAATCTGACTTTAGCTCATTACTTCTGCACAATGAAAACCAGTAGAAATAATCTGGCTTTTGTGGTGTTTATAACAGCCTTTTGTTCAGTTATAGCAACGAGTAATATTTTAGTTATGTATATCCTTATTGTATTTGAGTTCAACACTTTTCTTATTAATATACATTGCTCATTAAAGAACTTACAAGACAATTTAATGTAACTGTATGTGTATGTAAGTCTGCATGAACCGGAAGCAGTTGAGACTTTCCAGTATTTGTTTCACTTCCAACTCAAAGTAAATATTTATTAGGGAGCAGGCCCTTCATTTTCATTCTTTCATTTTCATATCATTCGCTCATGGCAAACTAACGGTTAGAGGGAGGGGTGTGACTTAAGTGTTTCATGAGCTTTTAAAAAGCTTATTCTGGTTTTTGAAAACTGAATTTTTTGCAGTGTTTCCACTTGTATCTTCTCAGCTTAGGAAGTTTGCATGGCATTAACCCTAACCGTGTGCCCAGCCAAGGATTTATCAAAATGATTTTGTGTTTCTTTATTATTTTATATATTTATTTTGGGTGATTCGTTAAAAGAAATGGCTCATTTGTCAATGAATCAGACTATTTTATTCACAGTGTGAGTGTTTACTGAACGACAAGTTGTCTGGACATTAAATTGCATATAACATTCGAATATTAAACTTGCAACTCTGGTTAAAAATAAAAGTTTATCTTCTGTTCTGTTGTCATCCTGCAGTCTGTGTTGTATAGTTGCTCTTTCTAGGAACACACTTTATTTTTATGAATAATATTAATCATAACACCAGTTACAACTTACTGTAAACTCTGCAGTGTAATAAAGAGGCATGGTAGCAAACAAAGAGGAAGTGTTGCAAGGATAGAGTCAAAAGTGCCACGCTGGCAGGAAGTCTTTGCTCTTTGGCTTTCTGCCAGAGAGAATGAAGGGAAGGGGGATGAAGCAGGGGTCAGATTTGAGGCCAGCAGAGGGAGAAAAACACAAGTGACAAAAGCTGGTTTGCAGTGAAGCAGCGTAGTTAATATATTCCACTCTTGCCAGGATAAAATGACAAAGTGTAAAGTGATCTAGAGGCTGCATGAGGAAAAAGTGCATTTAAAACACTGATTCTCCTCATTGAGAGATATTATTAGAGACACAATGCATCCTCAGAATTCACACAGATTCTTTTTATGTCTGAGGGTCTCGTCTCAATATGTGCATTCAGTCTCTATATTCACTCATACAATCGTCCTCTGTTTCCTAAACAGTCTGCTTCCTCTTGCACTATTTTTTTTTTTTTTACTTTCTCATTCATTCTCCTCCCTCAGTGTTACAGTAATGACCTCACTTAGGGACACTCTGATTGGCTGCAGTCTTAATCTAAGAGGCGGTTTAAGGTTTTTGATTGGCCAGAGACCAGGGATTCCTTATCGCACTCCTCCTATTATATTACCATAGGAAAACATAAGGATCTAATTTCAATGTTCTTGCATGTGTGTTGCATCAGACAAAAACACAGTTAAATAGGAAGTTCTGCCGGAAAATTGCTTTGTTTGCTTTTGGACATCGCCATAAGACAGCCTCAGTGCCTTAGGAGAGAGCCATCGTAGAGTTTGGAGTTTGGGAAAATAGTGTAGATCAGTCTTTTAGACATCTAGGTTTGCAAAAGTTTGTTTCTCTAAGCCTTATTTTTAGGTTTTAAAGTTAGTAAGGAGTGCAATTTTTAATGCACCCTGGTTTTTCTTAGATTTTTTTTTTTTTTATTTTAGTTTTCGTCTTATTTTCAAGTGACACAGAATATGTTCATTTGTTTGAATTCTACAAACATTACAACGCTTACTGTCATTTTGAGTGAGGAAAAGTTCAGGTTCCACCGTCCTAAAACAGAGTTAAAAACCGGTCGAGAGCGAGGAAGAAAAAATGTTACATAATTGTAAACGGTGCGTCTTTTAGACCGGCATTGTGCTACAGTTTTCTTTTGATGTCCCTCTAATTATTTCTGCTTCTTTTTTTGCAGCCCCTCAATTGTTCCTGACAAGGACAAAAGGTGAGTTATCTTATCATTGTAGATGTAGATGCACAATGCACAAATAAAATGCATGTCTTTTCTGTATGTTATTCTCGTGTTATAGATTGTCATGTAGTTTTTTTTGTCACAGTTTATAACATTTTTCATTTAGTCATGAAAGTTTTACTTAGATGTAAAATAAAATGTTAATTCAAGGGAATGTTTTATAATTATTACTCCTCAGTTGCTTTTATTGTCTTTGGATAAAAGTGTGTAATTATTAAATGCAAACTTACAATTATTTATTGTTGATATAAATGCATTTAATAAAAAAATAACTTTGCTAGAGATTCAGTTGCTGGAGTCTTGCAGCTGTTACAGTTGATCATTTTCTGCAGCTGTGCCACATAATTCCTGCGTTTATGAGAAAATAGACATGCACATGTGCACAGGCCCCTCCTTCAGACTTCTGTCCCTCCTTCTCTCTTCAGTCTTTCTCCTCCTCTCTTCACTCTTTCTCCTCCTCCTCTCCTCACTTTTTCTCCTCCTCATCCCTTTATCCTCTTTCTCCTCCTACTCACTTTCCACATCTCCTCCCTTTTTTAATGTGGATCTTCATTAATGAGGATTATTGTACACTGCGCTGACTGCTTGCAGATCACATGTTCTCAGCTGCACCCCTTTTTAGTATATAGCAACATAGAATATAGAAAACAGCGTTGTCCATACCTATGACATACATACAGTCATTTTATAGAGTGACTTCTGAGAGACATTCATATGTTTGCACATGGTACTAATAAATAAATAAACTTTTATTCAACAACTCTGCAGTAAGGTTAAAAAAAGGGACCATAAAATAGTTTGTAATGAAACTATTCAAATAAATTATTATGAACATATATTATTCTTCATATAAATGAAACGTTTTGATTAAACATTATTCTGTTTACCACAGCTGCAATTATATGATCAATAATAAAGTAAAACTTTTAAACTGTGAAATATGATTGCAACTCTACTTAACTTCTTTCTGTCTTAAATATAATAAGCATTTTCAGCATTATTATTCCAGTTCAGATTGTGACATGATCCTTTAAACATAAGTTAAAAATAAATAGCTTGTTTTAAAATATTTAATTGTACTGTTGCCAAACCTTTGACCTAAACCTGAAAAAAATGCATGAAATAAATGCAGAATTGTTGCTATTTCTTTTAGGTTTATGGGTTTTGTTCAAAAAAATTGTTTAAATATGGACTTTTACAATGTGAATGTGTAACGTTAATACCAGGTGTAAACATTTAGGCCTGTAAACATCTGTGTTCTTTTCCACCATCAGTAACTCCATCTTTGGAGCAGTGGCTTATTATATGAAGTATCTTGGAGTCAAGACCAGAGCTTTTGACAACAAGAAGTCCAAGTCAGGATGGCGGCCCTCGGTTCCATCTATGCTGAAGGTCAATAAAAATATTCCATAATTCTTCTGCTTTAATGGCCGGGATTTGTTTGATCTTATCTCTAACAGCAATGCTTCTTTCTTTGTTGGACAGCCATGGTCAGTCAACAAGCAGATTAAACCAGTCAAACCGCCTGGAATCGGCTGTACGTATTCAACATAATCCCTTTATTTCTCTGGACTAGAACACATGCTTTACTTACATCACATGCTTATTGACCAAACTTGTTCTATTTAACTGCGTGCATTGATTCGCATACAACCATTTACCTTAGATAAATTACCTATAACATCCCTGATGCCTGCTAGATAGATAACTGAAGATAGCTGAAACCAGTGCACAATAAAACTACAGACCACTATGAGAAACATGCTGCATATATTCACTGAAATACCTGCAAGATCAAAGATTGTTGTAGCATTTAAAATACCTTGTTTGTGTTGCTATGTTTTCCTCTTGCAGATGACGGTAAGCAAAGTAGATTGGACTTTGAAGGTATTATGGTCTGTTCTTTTTGTGTAGATCCCCTTTTTTAGATGGTACATTCCTTTTCTAATCAAATCTAATGCATGTTTGCATGTTCCACTTCCAACACAAGGGTCTGTCTGTAGCTTTTGTATTCATCTGTCTAGGAAAATGTAGATTTGAAATGACTTTATTATGATGAAAAAGTTATTTTAATGCTTGCTTTACATGATCTAATTGTTACTAAGGGTGACTTATTCACTAAATGTATTTTAGATTAATGTTGTGTGTTGTTTGGTGTTTCCTTTTCCCTTTACCTGAAATTTTGGGCTGGATGGTTCTTTAAATTCCCAATGAATTACTAACACTGTTGGATTAAACTCCTTCATCTGTCATGTTGTCTTATTAGAACCGCACAACCATCTGTCCATCTTGATTTATTGTTTATAATCATGTATAAATGATGTGTTGCCTTTGAGCCTTCTTCTCATCTTTCTCTCTATCCTCTTTACTTTTTCTTCTTCTAGCAAAGCAAAACAAACAACCTCCTCATCGAGTGTCTGTTAGTGATAGTGTCACCCCTCCAGGGCGAAAAACTGGTATTACCGTGTCAGGGAGCACTCATGGGTCAGAGAGCAGTGAAGAGTTACCCATCAGTGTGAGTGTGACTCCCAGCCCTGACTTTCAAACTGATACAGGTGAGGATTAAAAAAAAAAAAAAAAAGTTTCTCATGTATTGTTGATTTAAATGCACCGAGAAAAAAAAAATAGTCTTTTAAGAATTAAATATTTAGTTTAAATGTTATTAAAGGGTTAGTATGTTAGTATGTTTAAATGTTAACATTTATGGACTATTTTGTAATATATTAAAGGCCCGTACACATGCTCGTGTTTTCCATCGACGTTTAACGCCTCGTGACTATAAAAAGAGCGTCAATGTGATTGTGCACACCAACGCGCAAAACGCCAGACGCAAATACGTCATTTAAAAAAAAAAGCCTCATGCTTGTTTTTTTATTTGATTTGACGCGCCACATTAAAACCACCAATCAGGCTTGAACTTTTCTTCACGTGCACAGAGTTGCTGAAGTTACAGTAAACAGCCCTTGGAGGTGTTCAAGCGCAAAACTGTCAATGCGAGCGCACATTGAAGAAGATGCCCAGAGGTGATATAATTGTGGAGCTGCTTATTGCTCTGTAAACAATAATAATTTCTTCATTGCTAGAGCTGGAGCTGCTACTTGAACCATCTATGCTTGTTGAGTCACCAGTAACTTTAACAACAAGCATGTGAACTTCCTCTCTTACTCCTCTTTTGTGTTACAAGCGGGTATCGGAAGCTTAAAGTTGTGTAGCGCCATCTAACGTCAAGGAGTGATTTTGCATACTCTTCTGCTTGACGGCAGTAAAAATCGATTGGGTTTGAAAGCGGAAAAACTTCTCGTAAAACGCTGCAAACGAAAAGCGTCCTGGTGTGTAGGAGCCTTAAGATTTTTTTTATTTGTCTTTTAAATCTTAATTTTAGTTCATTTGTTTAATAATTTTGGTTTGTTTATTTTTATAATTTTATTATATTATTTAAAACAAATATATTATTTAGTTTACTTTTTCAGTTGTGCCATTTTATTAACTTACACAATATACATTAATTTGAGATGGTACGTGTGTATATACAGTGGTGCGAAAGTGTACATATGTCCCCTTACTGATTTCTTTTTTTTTTTGCATGCTTGTCACGCTTTAATGTTAAAGATCATCAAACAAAAATTTAAATATTAGTCAAAGATAACACAAGTAACCACATCCTGCAGTTTTGTAATGAAGGTTTTTATTATAAAAGGAAAACAAAATACAAAACTACATAACCTCTCTGTGAAAAGTGAGACAAAACTAGACATAAAACCTTATTCTAAGTCGTAAAAGTTTATTAAATCTTTAATTAAAGGCAAAGTTGACAGAAAAACGGCTGAATGGAGCATATACTAATCTACAAATTATTCAGTCACAGGATGGCACCAAAAAGTCAAAAGCAGAGGCATACAAGTATATGAATAAAAAAAATTTAACATGTTCTCTGACAGTCGAGATGTTTCTAAATACCCAGATGAGTCTTTGTTATTAGTTAAGCATTTGTTAACTAGGTATAACATGCTTTTTAATGTTGTAAATGACCGATCAGAATTAAGTATTTCAGAGGGCCTTATTTATTTACTGTTTTGTTTTTTTCAGTTTTTTTTAAGCTTATTGTAATAATGTATGTAAAATACAATTTACATACAATGTAATGTCATGTATCTTTTCTCTTATGCAGTAGGTATCATCAACAATCGCACAGACCCCAAACCAGCCTCTGAGGGTGGAGAAGTGTCTCCAGTCAGCACTGGTGGGACTGTGTCCATCTGTGAACCTCTCGCTGTCATTGATGTCCCTCCAGAAGACATTCAGGACAGCGGCAGGTAAGAAACCAGCATAAGAAGACAACTGATTAAAATGGCTAAATAGCTGCATACATTTAGCATACATTTGAATTGTGTAGAAATAGTTACTACATGAGTAAGGGAGGCTGGTAAAACTCCCTGTGTGCTTTGTGTCGGGGAGCTCGCTGTGTCCCTCCTGTGCTGCTGCTCCTGCTGCTGCCCGTCCGCAATAAACGCTACCCTCCTTGTGGACAACAAAGACCAAGACCATCCTTTACATGGCTCCCTCCCTCTCCCACTGTCCTCACTCCTTACTTCCTACATTCTTTTCTCCTCTGCATTTTGTGGCCTACTCTTCTCTTGTTTTGTTCCCATGTTCCTTGTGCCATATGATGTCCCATCTTTGTGAGTCAGTTTTTGTTAGCTTACAGTTCATGGTTTATCCATCCTGCAGTTTACATGTCTTGCTATATTGTGCCAATGCATCCAAAAATCTTAGTAAGTAGATTCTGTCTGAATTTGGGCTAATAACATGACTGTTGAAATGTTTGGAATGTTTTATTTTTGGGTCTAGAAAGTTGTTTGTTATTTCTCAGACACTTTACAGTGTGCATTTGATGGAACATTCTGCTGTTCTGGTTATGGGGTTCGGTACAATGGCTAGAGCCTACAACCTTCTGGTCACCTTCTGGTCACCAGTGTTAACTTAAAGCAACAGATAAAGGAATAATTTACTCACCCTAAGACTGCATTTTCACTTGTACATTTTTGTTTTAGCACATCTTTTTAAAATGAAATCAATCCTTGTCCATATTGGCTTTTCTTTTAAAAGCTTTTTCTTTTTTATCTATGGTGGTCGAGAGAGCTTAAAGTGCTGCAATTTAAACAGACACATGCAATTACAAAAAACGGCAGCAAATTAAGAAAGTATCTTCATCCATTTGACAGCACACTTGCTGCAAATCCTCACAACTTATTAAAAAATGTGCTACATTTTCCCACAACGCAAATAAAATGTAACGCGCTGCATTTTCTTACAACTTAAATTAATACAACGCACTGCATTTTCTCATACCACAAAAAGAAAGGAACACAGCAAAAATGTTTCAAGGAGACCCAAAAACGTGACGGACGCCGATGTGTCATGACTGTAGCTCGGTGAAGTTGTTGGTGATTTTTGAAAGTTTTTTATTTTGTTTTATTTATTTTAACATTCTGACTCCTGTGTCTTTAGTATTCATTAGCCTAAACAACCATAACCTAAATAGTTTTTTTTAAGTCACATTTTTTTACTTTAAGTCACATTTTAGGGTCTCCTTGAAACATTTCTGTTTTGTTGTGAGAAAATGCAGAGCATTTTTGTAAAAATGTTTGCGTTGTTTTTTTTTTGCATGTTTTTTTAGTTTGTTTGCGTTGTGAGAAAATGCAGCACGTTTAAAAAATAAATGTGTTTGTGTTGTGAGGATTTGCAGCTCGTGTGCTGTCAAACTGATGAAGATCTTTTTTCAATTTGCTGCCGTTTTTTTGTCATTTCATGTGTTTTCTTAAATTACAGCATATTAAACTCTCTCGACCACCTTATTTATCCACAATAAATGATTAAAAATGCCAGAATTTGAAAATATCTATAAAATAATAGTCTGCAATTCATTAATATTTTATAGACAAATAGATTTAACTCTTCCCGACGCTAGTTCTATTTTTTTTTCTTTTGACAACCACCACCAGCATTCCTTGATGATTTTATTCTATTTTCATATGTTTTTTTTTTTTTATCACCAATTCAATGCAGATTTCAGGTTTCATCAAAAATGTTACTATTTTGACAAACTGTGAATCTTTTTTTTTTTTGCAAAGTAGTGCATTTTTAAGATTTATAATGTATATGTCAGGGTTCTGCCACTCTGATCTTGTAAATTCTTGTTTTGGTGGCAGATCTTTGACGCTACTCATGTCTGGTCCTGTTTCTGTCTCTGTGCGCGCGCCGTCGTGGGTGTACGCAGAGTGTGCGCGCTCCTGCTTGACGTGGCCGCGTGCGCGCTCTGCGTCCCTCAGACGCGTGGGCTCTTGTACTCGTGTTTGTGTTTTCGTCTGTCAGCAGCATGGTGTTTCATTCCCAGCGTCTCAGTCTTGTTGGTTTCGGTTTTGGTCGGCGCTGGGATGAAGCATGCATGCTGCATATGTGAGCGCATGGTGAGTTTTCATTCATCGTGTGCTCGTGTCTTGCGTCTCTTGTCAAAGCACGTGGCTCGGTGTTTACATTGTGGTCACGTGCTTTTGTCGTGTGCTTCAGTGTTGTGTTTGTTGTCATGAACATGCGGTTAATGAGTTCTCTCATTGGCTGCATGTTCTTGTTGTGTTATGTGAGCGCATGGCTTGTATTGTCTCTCTGTGTCATGCGCTCTCCCGTCTATTGTCTTGTCCCACCCTCCTTGTTAACCCATTATTAGTTAATTGTGTTCACCTGTTTGTGTGTTAATCTTCTACAGTTTATATACCCCTCACTTTTGCTGTCCTGTGTCAGTTCGTCATCACATTTCGTCGTTTGAAGTCTAGTCCTGTTGTGTTTCCAGTCCTCATCCTTGCCAGTCTGCCCAGTCCTGTTTGTATGTGTATGTATTTGTTTTGTTAATGTTTTCCCCCTCGGGGTAGTTTATTTTGCATTTTATTTTATTTTTATTATTTAATAAAATCCCATTTCCCTGCATTTGAGTCCTCGCTCCTTTTTCCCCATTTCCCATCACCAACCCTGACAGTACGAACTGACCAGAAAGAGGACTCAGCGGAAATGGGACTATTTCTGCGCCCAGCTTGCTCCCAGCAAGAAGGACCCATCGACCAACCCCCAGCCAGAGGACTGTCTCACAGGCAGAACCATCGCCCCTTTGGCATCTACGCCGAAGATCTTCTTGAGGCAGTCCGGGGGCTTGGGTTCAGTGAGACCACCCTCATCCACATCTTTCTGGCTGGATTGGATGAGCCATTCGATTGGGAGGAGCTGGGTGATATCAGGACATGGACGTTTTGGGAGGTGGTGGACTATTCCTGTCTGAGGATGGAGAGGGAGATCCTGGAGGGGGAATGGACCCCTCTCACCACCACCACCAGCACCATCTCCTGGTCCATGTCCAGCCCCCAAGGGTTAACCCGCACCCAAAAGCGGAGGCGGAAGAGAAAGGCCTCTTCTGCGAGGGTTGCTCCAGCCCCTGAGCGCCCTCCAGTGTCGGCTCCAGCCCCTGAGCGCCCTCCAGTGTCGGCTCCAGCCCCTGAGCGCCCTCCAGTGTCGGCTCCAGCCCCTGAGCGCCCTCCAGTGTCGGCTCCAGCCCCTGAGCGCCCTCCAGTGTCGGCTCCAGCCCCTGAGCGCCCTCCAGTGTCGGCTCCAGCCCCTGAGCGCCCTCCAGTGTCGGCTCCAGCCCCTGAGCGCCCTCCAGTGTCGGCTCCAGCCCCTGAGCGCCCTCCAGTGTCGGCTCCAGCCCCTGAGCGCCCTCCAGTGTCGGCTCCAGCCCCTGAGCGCCCTCCAGTGTCGGCTCCAGCCCCTGAGCGCCGCTCGGTGCCGGTCCCAGTCCGGCTCCTTGCCCTGCCGGCACCACCCAGACGTCTTGCCCAGCCGGCCCCAGCCCGGCTCCTTGCCCTGCCGGCCCCAGCCCGGCTCCTTGCCCTGCCGGCACCACCCAGACGTCTAGCCCCGCCGGCCCCAGCCCGGCTCCTTTCCCTGCCGGCACCTACCAGACGTCTAGCCCTGCCGGCCCCAGCCCTGCTTTTTGCCCTGCCGGCCCCAGCCCGGCTCCTTGCCCTGCCGGCCCCAGCCCGGCTCCTTGCCCTGCCGGCCCCAGCCCGGCTCCTTGCCCTGCCGGCCCCAGCCCGGCTCCTTGCCCTGCCGGCCCCAGCCCGGCTCCTTGCCCTGCCGGCCCCAGCCCGGCTCCTTGCCCTGCCGGCCCCAGCCCGGCTCCTTGCCCTGCCGGCCCCAGCCCGGCTCCTTGCCCTGCCGGCCCCAGCCCGGCTCCTTGCCCTGCCGGCCCCAGCCCGGCTCCTTGCCCTGCCGGCCCCAGCCCGGCTCCTTGCCCTGCCGGCCCCAGCCCGGCTCCTTGCCCTGCCGGCCCCAGCCCGGCTCCTTGCCCTGCCGGCACCACCCAGACGTCTTTCCCTGCCGGCACCACCCAGACGTCTAGCCCTGCCGTCCCCAGCCCGGCTCCTTGCCCTGCCGGTCCCAGCCCGGCTCCTTGCCCTGCCGGCCCCCCACAGACCTCTGGTCTTGTTTCCCCTCATAGACACTCCCTGGGTCGTCCCTCCTGCCCCTCCCTGGTGTTCCTTTCCTCCACCCTGGACGGACCCTCCGGCTCCACCCTGGTTCCCTGCTAGGGCTCTCGACCCGCTGGACCCACCCTGGACAGTTCCTCCGGTCCCACCCTGGACTGATCCTCTCTTGTCTTGCCCTCCCATCCCTCCCTTGTTTGTCGTGTTGGGTCTGACTTGGCTCCCCTCCCTCCCCCCCTTCATGTCTTGCCTGTTCACCTCCCTGTCTTGTGTTTGTTGATGTTGCCTGTTTTGTTGTCTTGTGGTGTTTCTTGTCTGTCTTGTACCTTGTTGGATGTTCCCTTTAGGGACGCCAGGTGGCGTCCCTTTTGGGGGGGGGTAGTGTCAGGGTTCTGCCACTCTGATCTTGTAAATTCTTGTTTTGGTGGCAGATCTTTGACGCTACTCATGTCTGGTCCTGTTTCTGTCTCTGTGCGCGCGCCGTCGTGGGTGTACGCAGAGTGTGCGCGCTCCTGCTTGACGTGGCCGCGTGCGCGCTCTGCGTCCCTCAGACGCGTGGGCTCTTGTACTCGTGTTTGTGTTTTCGTCTGTCAGCAGCATGGTGTTTCATTCCCAGCGTCTCAGTCTTGTTGGTTTCGGTTTTGGTCGGCGCTGGGATGAAGCATGCATGCTGCATATGTGAGCGCATGGTGAGTTTTCATTCATCGTGTGCTCGTGTCTTGCGTCTCTTGTCAAAGCACGTGGCTCGGTGTTTACATTGTGGTCACGTGCTTTTGTCGTGTGCTTCAGTGTTGTGTTTGTTGTCATGAACATGCGGTTAATGAGTTCTCTCATTGGCTGCATGTTCTTGTTGTGTTATGTGAGCGCATGGCTTGTATTGTCTCTCTGTGTCATGCGCTCTCCCGTCTATTGTCTTGTCCCACCCTCCTTGTTAACCCATTATTAGTTAATTGTGTTCACCTGTTTGTGTGTTAATCTTCTACAGTTTATATACCCCTCACTTTTGCTGTCCTGTGTCAGTTCGTCATCACATTTCGTCGTTTGAAGTCTAGTCCTGTTGTGTTTCCAGTCCTCATCCTTGCCAGTCTGCCCAGTCCTGTTTGTATGTGTATGTATTTGTTTTGTTAATGTTTTCCCCCTCGGGGTAGTTTATTTTGCATTTTATTTTATTTTTATTATTTAATAAAATCCCATTTCCCTGCATTTGAGTCCTCGCTCCTTTTTCCCCATTTCCCATCACCAACCCTGACAGTATAATGCACAAACAGACCCACATAGATATCAAAACTAGGGTTGCAACGACTATAGATTTTGATTGTACGATTCTGGTCTGAGGAATAATCACAGTTTCACTCCTATCACATTTATTATGCATTCATTAATCTCAAAACACTACTAGTTTAGGAAATCTTGTCAAAACTCCTTATTGTTTAAAGTATTATTTATTGCTACTTAGTAACTAAATAATACATCACAAAATTATAATTAAAAAATACACAATAGTCTATTTCTATTTGTTTTTAAAAAGAAGTGAAAAAGTTTTTTTTTCATTTTAACAATGACAGAACAATAAATAAATATATAAAAATAAGAATAAATAAAAAAAGTATTTGTTTAATGTGAAAATTTGTCTAAAGAAATAAAAAAACTTCACGCTCAAAAGACGTGACATATGAACGGCCTTTAGTTAATAGCCTCAGCCATAGTTAATCCAGCCTGATCTCATGAGGAAACGTAAGTATTTTACGCTTTGTCAGTTTACTGGCTAATTCGTACAAATTAGTACGAGTTCAGACGCACGAAAATGGACGATTTTAAAAAGGAGGCGTGGGAGTAAATTTGTGTGAGTAAATTATAAAATAAATTTCCATAATTTTCTAAATAAATCTGAGGAAACTATTCCCTGTATTGTAGCTCTTTTTTATTTATGTGACCTAAAAACTAGCATTAGCTATGCATTTTTATTTTGCTCATGCAGTTGTTTTTTTATGTGGAGGCATTGTTTGTTGCTGTTGTCCATTGTTCTGCGCTCTTGTCTTGCTTTGTTGTTGGCTTCAGGATAGCATTGAGGTTTACTTGTTTCATGGTTAGATGTTTTGGTTGGGTTCATGTTGATAAACGGTTTGTAATTTGCAGTTATGCCGTAACCGTTCATTGTCCTATGTTGTTACAGAAAGAAGCCAAGGTGGGTCTGCAGGATTGTCTCTTGGATTTTCTGCCAGTCTCAAGCTTCTGCTGATCCACACACGCTCTGTTACCAAACACAAATTACATTTTTTATTATTATCCATATTGTAGGAAATGTTGTACAGTGAGTGGCATGGGTTAAGTTTTAGATTCACACACCCTTAAACCCACTGCATGGTTAAGTATATTTCATCTCAGTTTTTTTGGGCTGCAGGGATTAAGGGCAGAAGTATTTGCTTATTTGGGACGCTTTGCACGCATAGAACCCAATTGCCTGACAACAGTGTTTTATACCTGCGTAATTGAGGTGTTGAATTGCATTGCAATGCTGTAAATGATGCATTGGAAAGAGCTGGAGATGTTCGTTAATGTGGTTCCCACTAGGGTCTTTGAGTCTTAACTGATGGGGCTGAATGAATCTCCCTGCTGAACTAATGCTGAGATGTTATGTAGTGGTTTTGACATCATTTGTCTTCACATTTCATTCTCTGTTTTTTACTTCAATTTACATCTGTTCATGTGACCTGTTCTGTGGTCTAACCTCATTGTCATCTGTCTGTTCCTTCCACTGGTTTTTTGTTTCTGTTTATTTTTTTTTTTCACACATTTACATGCATTAAAACCTTTATTTTTTTCTTTATTAACCGTTTCCTTTTCATTTCCTTTCATTTACCTTTTTTACTTACCCTTTCCTTTCATTACCTTTCCTTTATCTTTTCATTTCTCCTGTCCTTTCATTTCCTTTCCTTCCCTTCTTCCCTTTCATTTCATTTCCTTTCCTTTTCTTCCTTTCATTTTCCTCCATAAATTTCCTTTTCTTTCCTTTACTTCTCTTTTTCCTTTCATTTTATTCTTTTCATTTCCCTTCCTTCCTTCCTTCCTTCATTCCTTTCCTTCCTTCTTTTTACTTCCTCTCCTTCCTGTCATTTTCTTCCTTTCCTTTTCTTCCTTCTTTTTCTTCCCTTCCTTTTCTTTTCTTCCTTTACTTTCCTTCCTTTCCCTTCCCTTCCTCTTCCTTTCCTTTCCTTTCCTTTCTTTTTCTTTTCTTTTTTTTAATTTCCTTTCCTTCTTTCCCTTCCCTTCCCTTTCCTTACTTACTTTTCCTTTTTTTTCCTTTCCTTTTCTTTCCTTTTCTTTTCTTTCCTTTAATTTCCTTTCCTTCTTTTCGTTTTCTTCTTTTTCTTTCCTTCCTTCCCTACCCTTTCTTTTCGTTTTCTTCTTTTTCTTTCCTTCCTTCCCTACCCTTTCTTTGCTTTCCTTTGCATTCATTTCCTCTACCTAATCATCTTTCTTTTTCCATTTATTTTATTTCCTCTTACCCATTTTCATTCTTTAATTTTCTTGCATTTCTTTCCTTTACTTATGATTTTGTGCAATCCTTTCAATTTTTATTTTCTAACTCTAATGCACTACTCATTTTTCCTTTCCTCTCCTCGTTTTATTTTTCCCATTCCTTTCTTTACCTTTTCATTCTTTCTTTCTCTTCTGTTTTACTTACTACTTTATTTCCTTCTCTTCTGTTTCCTGTTTATGTTTTTATACTCGTTAACTTTCCTATTTTCTTTCTTTCTTTCTTTCTTTCTTTCTTTCTTTCTTTCTTTCTTTCTTTCTTTCTTTCTTTCTTTCTTTCTTTCTTCCTCTTCATCATCCTCCCCCCCCACCACATCCTCTTTTTCTTGGGTGTTCAGGAATGTGCGTCGCAGTGAAAGCCTTTGTGTGGAGCGGCGTCACTCTCGTCGTGGTGGCTCTACTCGGGCCAAGCAGTCTCGTTCCCGCAGCGACGTGGACCTCCAGTCAACTTCCACATCCCATCCCCTCTCACCCTCCCCACAGCATTCAGTCTCGTAAGGCAAAACCATCTTAAGACTAACCATCACGCACTCAGAAAACCATCATGTACTCAATATCGACAGGAGAAAGCAGCACAATGGGATTCTTTAGTAGCTGACAGAAGTCAGCGATTATGATGGGCACTACCTGAATGGATTAGTTCACCCAAATATGGTATGAAAATTGCCTGATTATTTGCATATTCCCATCCAAGGTGAAGCCAAAGAGAAATGTAGGTTTTAGGGAAAAATATTTTAGGATTTTTGGATAATCATGCATCAAAACATGAGAACAAGGAAATAATGTTTAGTTTTTCTCAAAGTCATTTGCTAGTAAAGATCCTTAAAGGGCTTATTTAACAAGAGCATGTCTGGGTTTATTTGATGTCAAAATTTAGATTTTTTGCATAAAATGATTACTGAATGGATAATTGAACTCACCTCTGAACCAATACCAAAAGAAGGTTAGCAATAATAATCATGGGTGCCACTGGCCGTTACTGGCCCTATTACAACATTTTAAGTGTGTCGTGAATGAGAGTGGGGGGCAAGGTTGTGGGTAAGTCGCGGACGAAAGTGATATGTGGGGGGTGTTTTCGCCTAATAGTATCTCCGGGGACCCCAAAACAATCGATTCTGATGCATCAAGCTTAATAATGCATAAATCATGTATTCCCTCTTAGTATGAAACTTAAGTTTAGAGTCCCTAAGTGGATAAATTAAGTATGCTGTATATAATACCTTAAATGTGTCTCTTATAGCTATTTAGATTGTTAACATGTTATGGTCAGAATCAACTTTACAGAAAATAGACAAAACAAATAAAAACATTTGTAAGAAAAATGACAAACAGTGCAAGTTGTAAACGCTGGAAATGATGGAAAAAGAATATAACACGTCTCAATAAACAAAAAGTCAGTATTAATAAAAGTATTAAAAAATTATTTAAAAAATGTACACATATAAATCTAATACTTCTTTACTAAAAGGAACAGACCTACAAACTAATGTTATTGCAATGAGTTATAGCAAAAGTATGGTACAAGAAGTCATAATTTTAAATATTCATGTTAAAAAATAATCATTTTTATGTTTTATTTATGTAATTTGCCAGCCAGGTTTTAGTGCATTTGCAATATTGTCAAAAACACAGAAATACGTTTAGTTTTTATATGAAAGGCCTAAATACATGCAAGGTCATTTAATTATTTTGGTTATCTCAAACTAACACAAACGCTTGTGATCGGTTCATTAGATCAGCCAAATCACTGAGTACCGATCAAGTCATTAAATGTGATTATCAGCCGATCTCCGGCCAATCGATCAGAGCATCTCTAGTTCATTTGAACTCTGCTACAGGTCACTTCTGATATAAATGTAATCATACTAAATCATGAAAGTGAGCCTGTGTTGACAATATATAAGTTGATCTCATTTTTTGGCGCTTTGGAAATGGAACAAAGCAAATTCTTTTAAAGTGCAAAAATGAGGCAAGCAAAGAAGCATTCCTTTTACATCCTTCAAAGTTGTTACCATTTGAAAATAATAAACGTTACTACCTGGTTAAAAACCATCATGTGAACAAAATCCACCAGGAGAAGGCATAAGGATTAGCAATCAATCAATCAAACAAACAAACCATACAGTCTTACCTACAGTGGTGTTAGAGCACATATATTTGTCAGCTGGTGTCATGTAGATTACTTTGAGGCTAAAAATGGATTTTGGACTATCAAAAGTGCTCAACATGGAGTTCTGTTTACTTGCATTAGATCCTGGATTGTTTTTCTTGTAAACCTACATTTCTTTCTGCATTTCACCTTTGTTCTTGGAAGAATAAACAATAAGGAAATATATTTTGGGTGAACTATTCCTAATTGTATCTACTTTTACCATGCTTAAATATGTATGGAACCCTTTTAATTGTGCTCCTCTATTTGTCTCTCTCAGCGTGGAAGGTGACAAAACACCGGAAATCGCTCTCCTCACTCCCACTTTTGTCCCGGCCCCTCAGCAAGAAGAGATAGAGCCCCGTCTCCTGGAGCTCGAGCAGGACCCACTCAACTGGAGAGAACTTGCTTCCAGTGAAAGCCTGCATAAGCTGAGCAAGAAGGAAGCCAAAAGACAAGAAGTCATAAATGGTAATAAAAGCAATGGGAAAGAAATTGTTTAAAACGGACTTAATATTTTGAATCAGCCATGTAGAAAGGTGAAATAATTGTTTCCTGTCGTTCTCCCAGAGCTGTTTGTGACAGAACAAGCACACGTCCGTATGCTGAGTGTATTGCAGACAGTGTTTTCTCGTCCACTTGAGAAGCAAGAGTATATGACTGCAAATGAGGTGGCCACCATCTTCTCCAGCCTGGATGACATCATAGAGATGCACTGTAAGTAATTGCCTCAAGCGTTAACGCATTACATTCTGCTTCATTTTAAAGTATTTTGATTGCCTCTTATCTCTTGTGTACAGAAATAGCATATTTTCTATTTCTAATTTGTCAGTTGCATTTATTAAGATTTCTGAAAGCCCAGATTAGTCATGTTGGTGGGAAAGTCATGTTTTATATTTTCATTCAGGAATAAAGTTAAATAGGTCACTAGCGTGTATATTAGTTTTCCTTTCCACAACAAACATTAAAATTGAGCAATATTCAATAGAGTGCAAAATAAACGATGCAAGTATGTAAAGAGTAACAATCACTATAAAAAAATTTATTATAAAATTCAAACCCAAATAAATTAATTTAATGGTGCAATATGCAAGTTTTTGACTCTTAAAACATAACAATACCATAATATGTTTGCAGATAGTTATGAAACATGCCCAGTTAACACGTGCATATGTTTATCTTTAAAAGAAAATACAATGCTAGAGTCAGTTATTCTCCTTTAAATACAGTGCATCCAGAAAGTATTTTAATGCTTCACTTTTGCTACATTTTTTTTGTTTTGTTACAGCCTTATTCTAGAATAGATTAAATTATTGTATTTCCTCATAATTCTACACACAATACCCCATAATGACAAAAGGAAAAAGTTTTTTTTTTTTAATTGTTGCAAATTTTTAAAAAATAAAAAACCTGAAAAACCACATGTACATTAGTATTCACAGCTTTTGCCAAGCACTTAATTAAGCTCAGGTATATTCTGTTTCCACTGATCATTCTTGAGATGTTTCAGCAGCTTAATTGAATTTCACCTGTGGTAAATTCAGTCTATTGGACGTGATTTGGACATGAAAAGGCATACACCTGTTTATATAAGGTCCCAGGGTTGACGGTGCATGTCAAAGCACAAACCAAGCATGAAGACAAAGGTATTGTCTGTAGACTTTTGAGACAGGATTGTCTCGAGGCACAAGGCTGGGGAAGGTTACAGAAAATTTTCTGCTGCTCTGAAAGTTCTAATGAGCACAGTGGCCTCCATCATCTGTATGTAGAAGATGTTTTGAACCACCAGGACTCTTCCTAGAGCTGCCCAGCCATCTAAGCTGAGTGATCGGGGGAGAAGGGACTTAGTCAGTGAGGTGATCAATAACCCGATGATCACTCTGTCTGAGCTCCAGCGTTTTTCTGTGGAGAAAGGAGAACCTTACAGAAGGACAACCATCTATGCAGCAATTCACCAATCAGGCCTATATAGGAGAGTGGCCAGATGGAATAAGGTTGCCAGCAGGACAATGATCGAAACCACACCACCAAAATATCAACGCTGTGGCTTCTCAACAACTCTGTAAATGTCTTTGAGTGACCCAGCCAGAGCCCAGACCTAAATCCTCTTTGAACATCTTTGGAGAGATCTGAAAATGGCTGTAAATCATTGCTTCCCATCCAACCTGATAGAGCTTGAGAGGTACTGCAAAGAGGAATGGGCAGAAATTCCCAAAGACAGGTTTGCCAAGCTTGTGGCATCATATTCAAAAAGACTTGAGGCTGTAATTGCTGCCAAAGGTGCATCAACAAGTATTGAGCAAAAGCTGTGAATACTAATGTACATAAGATTTTTCAGGTTTTTTATTTGTTATAAATTTGCAACAATTTCAAAAAATCTTTTTTTCACATTGTCATTATGGGATATTGTGTGTAGAATTTTGAGCAAATAAATGAATTCAATGCATTCTGGAAAAAGACTGTAACATAAAAAATGTAGAAAAAGTGAAGCGCTATTAAAATACTTTCCGGATGCACTGTATATGAATTCTGTATCCAACTGTTGGTCCCAGGATCACAACACAGCGTTTTTTATTTTAATCATGGAAGCTGTCAAACAAAAGGGGTTAGAGTCAGAGATCCAGCATTCTACATTAAGCATGGGTCGGTGTAAAATTCTGATGGTATGAAAACCTTGGATTAAATATCACTGTTTCACAGTATTGCGATTACTGCTCTTAAATGTTCTTTTTAAATGTCTGGGTAAAAAAAAAAAACTTTTTCCCTGTTAACACAATATATGTTATTTAAAAAAACATTTCAAACATGTCAAGCTAAATGATTAAAATAAACCATTGACTTCTGCCATCTTCAGTAATTAAAAAAATGTTTTGGATATCTTTCTTTTCTTTAGATATAAAGAAAGCCACTGCACTGTTCAGGTCCCTAGCATGTTTGTATTTTGGTTTGTAAGCGATTAGTTTTTTAGATGTTTCCCGAATAATGGGCTGACCAGCAGCTTTTGCTCTGGAGGATCCTTTTCTGCTGGAGATACTGTTGCCTTACATACCTTATGAAAAACCTTACATATACCGTATGAACGATATAACAGAAAAATGTAATGGTTTTAATACCTTGACTTTTCCAAACAACTGTAAACCTTGAAACAGGTTATGTCCTGAAAAACTTTGAGTGTTTACACTTCTTAATGAATTACAGTCAACTTGATCATTGTTATAACTGGGCCTCCTTAATTTATGCGGCTGACAAATTCAACTTCCGGAGGAATAAGACACTGATTCAGAAATGGAGTCGCAACAGAGTTGTTAATCTGGCAACCTGCATATGTCAAGTCTGAAAAGGAGCCGGGTGGAAAAAAAAAAAAAAAACACTTTACAAACATTTTACATTTTGACTGCAGTACGTAGTTCAAACCACTAGGGGTCAACACAACAAACAGCACCTTTAAGCAAAACCTAAATCCAGCAGCATGATAGACAGTATTGCTGTATAAATATTTATTTCTCACATACAACATGAATCCAAATACTTTTGCATTTGTTTCATTTGACAAAAACTTTAGTTGCCTTCTATAAAATACTGCAAGACTTATCATTTCTAAAATTCATTCTTCCACTTTGTAGATGTTTTCTATGAGAACCTGAAGAAACTGCGTGAAGAAGATGAATACATTGTCAAAACTATCAGCACACCACTTCTCAACAGAGTAAGTGACTTCGAGTGCATTAACCGCTACTTTTCTGTTCTTTTTAAATTCTCTTTAATTGTTTTGCTGTGTTATACATGAAGACATGTCTTGATTTTTGTAGTTCAGTGGATCTGAAGGAGAATGGTTTCAAAAGCTCACAGCACGCTTCTGTAGCTACCAGTCCTGGGCTCTGGAGCAGATCAAGAGCAGGCAGAAGAAGGACCCCCGATTCAATGCTTTTATACTGGTGAACCATTTAAAACACTGCTCAGTCACATAAATGTACTGTTGCACATTGGAACATGATACATTTTTTTTGGGAATTAGCTTGGCATCAGTTGGTTTTTCTGTGTTTGTTTTTAGGAAGCAGAGAGTAAGCCACAGTGTCGGAGGCTACAGCTAAAGGATATCATACCCATAGAGATGCAGAGACTAACAAAATACCCTCTTCTGCTGGAAAACATTGCTAAGAACACAGGTGTGTGTGTGTGTGTGTGTGTGTGTGTGTGTGTGTGTGTGTGTGTGTGTGCGTGCGTGCGTGCGTGCGTGCGTGCGTGCGTGCGTGCGTGCGTGCGTGTGTGTGTGCGTGCTGCATGCTTATCTGTTTTTTTGACACATAAGGACAGAAATTTATATAATGACATTATGACACAGGTATTACAAGGAGAAGGTGACTTTTGAGGACATTGCCCCATGTGCCCATTTTTCAAAAGGCTCATAAATCAAACAAAATTAGTTTTATTTTTTTTATTTTTTTAAGTAAAAATACACAGTTTTCCTTTTGGGTTGGGTTTAGGCATAGGGTTGTGGTAGGACAATATAAAATACAGTTTGGACTAGGGCTTCACAATATATGGTTTAAGCATCAATATCGAAATGTGTGCTTCCGCTTTAGTCACATTGCTAGTTAGGCAATGTTGAGTTGAAATTATGGTTGACCAGAAACCACAGGTCAAAACACATTAGATTTGTGGAGACATTGCCGAATTGAAGCATAATACAGTGAAATTTATCATCTACTTGAGGTTTTAAGACCAGTGAGTATTTTAAGAGTTTAAAGCATTTTAGTAGTGCATAAAGAGGTTTAATAAAGATTCTTTTAATTTATTTGTTTATATGATCAAGACTACAAAATGTTATTTTACATTTGATTATCCCAAATATTGTTATACTTTCACCAGAAAACCATGAAATATGTCTTTATTTCACTGTAATATTTGCTCCATTGTGTTTATTTATGACTTGTTTATAATATGTATATAATAAATAGCATTAAAATATATTTACATTTCACACCCTACAAAATCATCCCTTTCAATCTAAAGTAATGACTTGGCAAATAGAGTTATTTAAGTCATCTGGTAAAATTGGATTTATATTGCAATATATATATATATATATATATATATCGCAGAAAAGAAAAATATTGCAATGTCAAATTTTTCCAATATCGTGCAGCCCTAGTTTGCACAACATTTAAACAATGGTAACCTATGGAATGTTCCCACAGTTCACAAAAACAAATGTGTGTTTGAAATCTAATGGAATTGAATTGTAAAGCATACAAAACACATATATTAACTTTTCTGATTATAAAATAGCTTATTCATTTTTGAAGATTAGTGAATTTTATTTTCATTTTAAATATTATTTTATGTTATATTATTACAAAAACACATCTATTTCATTATTTTGAAATGTTTATTTATAAAAGACTCCTAAACACATTTTTTTTTATTATTGTAATCTTAAAAAAATGTTGTATGATTGTATAGATGTATGATTAATGTCTGCTTCTCACAGAGGATGCAACAGAAAAAGAGAAAATTAACCAAGCAGCAGAATCCTGCCGTAAGATCCTCAACCATGTCAATGAAGAAGTCAAACAAATGGAGAACCTGCTGGTGAGAACATTTGTTGGATGTTACTAATAATAAACTTGATACTGTATAATGCAGTTTGGCGTTATTGTACAGGCATTACTGCATTGCAGCATAAGCCTTCAGTGTAATTTAAAATTATGAATACTGTGATTATAAGATTTTGGTAATACCACCCAATCTACGTAGACACTTTTTTTTTTTTTTTTTTTGCTTTATTTGCTTTGATGTTGCATAAATAGCTGAGTTTTATTGAATGAAACTTGATTCATAACTACTAATCTGTGTTTCCCCTAAAATCCTTCCCATATTTCAACTCAGATTTTGAAAGACTACCAGCGTCGACTGGATACCTCAGGACTGAAACCCAGCAATGAACTCTACAGTGAGTACAAGGTAAGAAAGGTCTTGATGACTTATGATATTGAGGAAAAAGTATATATCTTACTGCCATATCAGTTATGTTGTTATTGGAAGCATTGATATGACGTCTACTCTTTTGCTTTTTGTTCATCAGACCATTGATCTGACCAACCGAACGATGCTGTTTGAAGGACCTCTGACATGGAGGGTGACCAAAGAGAAAGCAATCGGTAACTACATACCCAACGCAGACCTCAAATTCAGTGTTTGTCGCACGTTGACAGATGTTTGTCCATATGCAGGGCCTGTTACTCATTCAGTTTGCGTGTGTGTGTTTTCAGATGTGCACTGTGTGTTGCTGTCAGACCTGCTGGTCTTGTTTCAGAAGCAGGATGATAAGATGCTTTTGAAGTGTCAGAGCAAAAGCAACATCGCCGTTCAGGAAGGCAAGCAGATGCTGAGTCCAATCATCAAGCTGGAGTCTGTTTTCCTCAGAGAGGTGGCCACTGGTGAGTTTCAGAGAGAAAAAGAAAATAGAACAAGCAGTAGCCTATGTGTGATGTCCTTTGTGGTGCTGGTTTGAATATACACAATCACTGAATACTGTTTTACATTCATTTCTTAATGAACGATCAGCTAGTGGTGCTAATCACAGTTCTAGAAAAGGGTCCTGTTTGTGTCATAAAATCGAAAACAAGCTTTGCAGAACTTTTCTTCTGGTTATTACTGGTGTGATGTTACGTTTTATAGATTATATAATCATTTAATTTCTTACAATACACAAATTAACCCCATCAGACCTGAATTATTATCAGAATTTGTAGAAGTGCATTTACTATGTTCTTAAGACTTTAATAAATGCCAACCAGGTCAAAACATTGCACTGCACAAACAATATAACATTGTGAAATTAAATATAAAATAATACAGATTGTTAGACACATTATTAAAACTCACAGTTCATTATAACAGACAAACAAATCTAATGTCTAAACTCACTGTGCATTATAATGGGCAGATCTAATTACCATATAAATCTTTAATTATGGATTTTTGATCGGATGATAAAAGTCCAATCTAAAAGACAGCAGGCTTAAATTTGATTGTGCTCTGGAAGCAAAAAAAATAAAAAAAAATTAAATAATCAAACAAAAACAACAAAATCTATTTGACGTTTTTAGCCACATTAATAAAAAAGGTCATTAGTCCTACTTTATTAAGGTACTATTCTTTCTGTTAACAAATCATGAACTATGATAACTAAATTAACATAATATGTAGAATACGCAAAGTAGATATTTAGTATTTAATAATTGACAATATCTTTTTAATAGGCAGGTAATAAGCCGCTAGTAAAAGGTTTAAGAAACCCTCGAGCACTTTTTAAACATTTTTTAACAGATTTGTGTGTGTTGAGCATCAATTAAGACAACTTGTCAGCTAATTTCATGTTCCTGTTTTAAAATCATTTTTGGGGCGAATAAAATTTGGTGAAGTAGCGCGTATCTGCCGGTCTATCTGCCGGTCCACAACGTGTCGGTTTCTCATTCTTATTCAGGGCGGAGTTTTTCTTATCCTATGAGAAGACCCTGTTTCTTAATTATTGATTATAATTAGTGCTTAATTATTGATTATAATTAGTGCTTTCCGAATGCAAGACAGACCTGCCAATCTGTGAAATATGATTCCGAGCACGGCACGCATCATTTAGCCATTAATGAAGAGTTGTATGTGCTTGTTTCTACGAAGTTTGTTGCATGTTTTTCCCCGCAATGCTGTCAGGGCCGATACAGCAGAGCTGTTGGTTTGCAGCAAGCATTTTTGTTCTGAGAGCTGTACGACAGTTGGAGAATGGTGAACTTAGTTTTTTTTTCAGTTTGCCTATGTTTAAAATCCTTCGGATTACCGGCAGGGCTAATGGTTGAAATAGATAGAGAAAGAGACCTGTTGCACTGCTCCACTGTGTCTGCATTCAGGCCCAGGGATTCAGGAGAAGAGAAGTCCTTCTTGTTTAGTGTTTATATAAATTATTATCTTTATAATGATATAACAAATTGTGGTTACTTGTATATATGAAATTCTGAATAATATGTAGCAGGGCATTAAATTACTTTACTGTTTATTTCTTTGCATTTTAAGTTCTCCCAACGTTTTGTGTCTGAATTTTTATATATATATTTTTGTCTGATTTTGTAAACTAACTGACAGTTGTTCGTTCTCCTTTTTTTCCCCTGCTCTGTTGGCCATGCCCGCTGCTCCCTCTGCTCACAGTGCTCCATGCCCATCAGGAAGCATTTTTTTTTTTTTTTTGAGGTAGACTTGAACTGAAAGAGGGAGATTTCATGGCCATTTATTAGTGAGAATTGGTGCTTAAAGTAAAATGTTACCTATCAATTTGCCTGTAAATGTCTCCTTGTAACTAGAGCTAGTCTAGTCCAACTGTTCTTTTTGGTTTTATCATATTTAATCAACATTGTCACGTTTTTGGTAAGCTGTTTTTTTTTTTTTTTTTCTTGACTAAATAAAAATTAAATATGAAATTCCTATAAGTAAATTCAGTAATTAAAATCTTAACAGTACATAAATAACAAATTAAATTACATGTTTATTTACTATTAAAACAAGGGCATTTTAAAAATAGTTTTATTAAATAAAAAAAACATTCTTCCAGGTTTATTTTGCAAAGAATAAAGCGTGATATGAAGCTACTTTTGTTTTTGTTTTGTTTTTTCTTATCAGACCCGAAGGCCCTGTATGTTATCTTCACCTGGGACAGTGGAGCACAGATCTATGAACTGGTGGCTCAGTCTGTCGGGGAGAGGAAAAAGTGAGTGTGTGAACCAGATAAAGCTACTCAATTAAAAGGCTTGCATGAATGACTGACAGGAAGATGTTATGGAACTGCTTTTTATAAATTTAAATCCAGAGCGTGTCATTTGATCTGACACTCAAAGTCTGTTTAATTCTGCAGCTGGACAGAGGCGATTAAGTCTGCGGTTGATGAGCTGAAGAAGGCATCAAAGAGCAACACCAAACTGGAAAGGAATAGCAGGGCTGGCAGTGTGCCAAACAACATTGCTGTACCTCTATATGGCCCGTGAGTGTGATTCATATAAACCAATCTGAACATCTTTTTTTAAGAGATTAAGCACTTTTTAAATTTTTTTCTACTGTTCTCTGAGGTCCACTTATAATGTTATATACGAGTTGGATCATCTTTAAGTACTAGGCTTTTTTCTGTCCTGTTTTGACCCCGCTCATTTGAACATTTTCTCATTTAAAGGGATAGTTCAGTCAAAAATGACAATTCTGCCATTATCTACTCATCCTACACTTGTTCCACAGTTTCTTTCATCTGTTGAACACAAACTGAAGAATGTTGGGAAAAAACAGCTCTTGACTTTCGTATAATTTCTGTGTTACTACTATGGATGTTTATGGCTATGGATGTTTATGTTTTTTTTCTCCCAACTTTATTCAGAATATTTAGTTTTATGTTCAACAGAAGCCTAACCAGGGAGAAGGGCTATAAAAAAAGCCGTAGGTACATTCCAGACGCAACCCATCATTTTGGCTTAAATATAAGCTGATTTTAAACTTAAAGTTTTGAGTTCTGAAACTTAAAGTGCATTTCTACACTCACCGGACACTTTATTAGGTGATAATTAATGATAATTTCTAATCAGCCAATCACATTGCACCAACTCAATGCATTTAGCCATGTAGATTTCTGAAAAAGAGAAAATATTCAGTGAGCAGCAGTTCTGTGGGCTTAAATGCCTTGTTGATGCCAGAGGTCAGAGGAGAATATCCAGTCAGGTTTGAGCTGATAGAAAGGCAACAGTAACTCAAATAACCACCTCTTACAACCGAGGTATGCAGAAGAGCATCTCTGAATGCACAACACATCGAAACTCGAGGCGGATGGGCTACAGCAGCAGAAGACTGCACTAGGTGCCACTCCTGTCAGCTAAGAACAGGAAACTGAGGCTACAATTCACACAGGCTCAACAAAATTGGGACAATAGAAGATTGAACAAATTTTTTCCTGGTCTGATAAGTCTTGATTCAGTGTACCCGTTTTCTGATGGCTACTTCCAGCAGGATAACGTGCCATGTCACTGGCCTTTTGAACATGACAATGAGTTCACTGTACTGGCCTCCGCATTCACCAGATTTCAATCCAATAAAGCATCAATAAAGCGGGATGTGACGGAATGGGAGATTCACATCATGGATGTTCATCCAACAAATCTGCAGCAACTGTGTGATTCTATCCTGTCAATATGGACCAGAATTTGTGCAGAATATTTCCAGTACCTTGTTGAATCTATGCAATGAAGGATTTAAGACAGTTCTAAAGGCAAAAGAGGTCCAACCCCTTACTAGTTAGGTGTACCTAATGAAGTGGCCGGTGAGAGTATTTTAAACCTCATAATTTTAAACAGGTCTTAATTGTCCTATGTCTATGTAAAGCTAATCAATCCATAAAAATACATTTAACTAAAGTTTTATTAAATAACTCTGTTTACCAATGTGGTTTAATTATCTTACTTACAAAACATTACTTTAAACGATACATTTATTTATAGATCTGGACCGACTGTTGTGAATATATTTAGTTTGCTTTAGTTTGAAATTTCATTTATAATGGTTACTGTATATTGGACTTGATGAAACCTGCAGAAACCCTGATACTAAAGAACCCTCTTGAGTGTCAAAAAATCAAGGGAATTTAGATTTGTCAGTTCATGTCCTCCTGTTAGCCAACTTCTGTCAAAACTCTTTCCCTTTTGCTTCTCCAGAGCTCATCCTCCTCTTAGCCCCACTGAAAATGGAGGTGAACTGCTGAAAAATCGCGTCGGTGAGACATTTGCCTCTTGGAAACTGATCTATAAGTTGCTTCGGTGTTGTGTTTTTATTCTGAATTGTGGTTTACTTCACCCCAGGGCGATTTAGTGAGAAGATTCGAGAAAGTGATCCTCCACTCATCGACTATCTAGCAGCCAACGGCTTTGACCTGCTCACCCACAGCCACACACCTCCGGAGAAATCTGCTACTGTTGCTTTGGATGAAGGTCAGCATTTATGAAATGTCATTTCATATAAACATTTTATTGAACAATTAGAATTTTAATTTAATGAAACATTTTTGCTTGTATTTTTTTTCAGTCATGTGTTTGAAGAGGCTATTGGTTGGGAGTATTAGCCTGTCAGATGATGCTCAGACTCTTGGGGAAAACGGTGGGATGGCACCTGAAAGTCAGGATGCAGATGGAACTCAACTGTCAGGTACTGTGCACATTTTGCATCAGGTTTTAAACTCGGGATATTCAGGCTCACATTTTAAGAGATACTTCACTCAAAAATGTAAACTTGCTCACTATTACTCACCCTATATGTAATACAATGTATTACTTACCTATATCATTGTAGGTTGACCTTGTTGTTTTTTCTTCCAATACCGATTTTGAATGTTTTTTTCCCCTCAGTGGAGGAATCGAGCACAGAAGCAGGTCCTGAAGTAGAAGAGCATGAGGAAGATGTAGAGAATAAAGGAGAAGAGGAGAAAGGTATCAGTGCTCCTCTCGTGCTGTCTGAGGAGCGCATGGAGGAGGTGCAGATGAGACTGCAGGCTCTGGAGGAGCAGCTGAAGAGATTGAGGGTGAGGAGCAAACTGGTGCATTTGTGAACATTTTTTTTCAGTTCTTAAAGGTACAGTAAGTGATTTGTCAGAAACGTGGTTAAAAATGTAAATCAATGCCCAAGCAAACAAATTTTTAAATGTTTGCTGGCTGTCTATTCTACGTGATGTATGTGCTGAAAAAAGTAAGAGAGAGATTAAATAAACTATAAACAACATTTTTTTATTAGAAATTTTTAAAGGTTCCATGAAAAAAAAAACTTAGATGTTAGTATCAGTATTATTTGTTTTTGATATCTATTAGCTATTGTGCTCCAAAACAGTGGCAAAATTCACGTTTAGTAGATATAACACTGATATAAACACGTAAAGCTTGTAGTTTGTCACTTCTGGCTGAAAGGATCCACGGTTTTATTCATGTCACCTCATACTTCAGTTTCTCATCAATGATAACTAATCAAATGCTCTCTAGTATCTGACATGCCCCGCCCCCTTTAAGGGCCTACTCACACTATGCCATCCGTACCGTGCCCAGGCCTGTTTCCCGGATCGTTTGAGAAGTGTGAGTGCGCTGAATTGGGCTCAAGCACGGTTCACTTGGTCGGCCCTGGCCCGGTTGGAAGAGGTGTGCCTGAGCGCAGTTCACTTGGGCTTTGGCACGGTACGCTTGTGTGTGAGTGCAAAATGCGCCAAAGCCCGAAACTGAAAGCGAGACGTGACTTTTAAGGGACTGTTTCATATGGATTTATTAATCATTCTTACTGTTCAGTGAACGAAAACTGCCGTAGTTTATTAAAGGCGCAAACTCCTCACTTCACGACAGCTGCGCGCCTTCAGCAGACCTCCTTATTCCTGCAGCACGAGGGCTTTTATGATTGTTTATGAACGCCAAAAGTGGCGGATCTGTCCGGTAAAATATCTGACTGCGTGTCCCCGCATCCCTAAGGACTGTTTGGCAAAATATTTGACGGCATATCAAACGACTGAAACGATATAACTAGAGAAATCTCCACTGTGCTGCTGAGTGAGAGAGTGCTTCTCACTGAACAGCCCAGCAGCGATGACGTAAGCGTGCCGAAGCCCGTTTGTGGTGTGAGAGCGGGCCATCGGGGGAGACGGTAGGGGGGACAAGTGTGCTTTGGCCCGGTTCGAGACAACTGTACCTAGTGTGAGTACGGCCTAAGACACACCTCATTTGCTTTTCATTTGATGCACTTGAGCTCAACCACTCTCACTGGCAGAGCTGTTACAAAACTATTTTTTTGTTTTTAAAAAAGGGGAGGAGCTACACTCACCCACCTTCTCTTCCTATTTCATTTGAGATTAAGTAAAACATAAAGTTAAAATGCATATTTCAAAGCACTTCATGGGAAAAAAAGCTTTGTCTTTTAAAGTCAAATTGATTTTACAACAATTCAAATAAAATAACCAAATATGTATTTGTATAACATTTATTTGCATGAATGTATTTTTTTTTATTTTTATGTATTTTAAAATAATTTCAAAAATACATTCACAAACATATTTCTTACCACATGGAAATACTTCAGCGATTAAGGCTAAGTCTTATTAAAAACTGATGTTGGTCAATTTTTTTAAAATATCTTTTTTTCCAAGGCATATTGCCAGCAACATATATTTTAATATAGTTTGTTGATCCTCTTCAGTACTCCTAACTTATCACTGATATACTGTAGTAGGTACATTTTAGCGCTACAAACACTTTGTGAAATACTTTTTTTGTGTGTGTGTGTGTGTGTGTGTGTGTGTGTGTGTGTGTGTGTGTGTGTGTGTGTGTGTGTGTGTGTGTGTGTGTGTGTGTGTGTGTGTGTGTGTGTGTGTGTGTGTGTGTGTGTGTGTGTGTGTGTGTGTGTGTGTGTGTGTGTTTGTGTGTGTGTGTGTGTGTGTGTGAAATACTCATTTCAAAACAAAATAAGTGACTCAACTATTCAGTTATTCATTTTTACAGACAGTCGCTTGCTAGCTAGTTGCTAGTTTCTAAATGAATCCGCATTTTTTAATGAATCGATTGAATTTTATGTTTAACTCATTAGGGCTGTTTTGCTGCAACCTACTGGCACATTTACTGTCAAATTGTATTTAATTAACAACATGCCTAAACCAGTCAAGGTACTGACATAAAATCAGACTCAATCTTTTTTATTAATACATCTGTCTTGTTTTGTGTTTGTTCTCAGTTGGTTGAGGAGGACCATTATAAATTACAAGAAGCTCTTGCTAAATACACACTTCAGGGGGGCCATTACAATTGAGAAACAACACAACCTGCTGTTACAAGGTACAACCACATACTTAGTACACCATTTTATATTCATCAATTCCCTTTTAATTTAGCGCAATTCTTTTAAAAATTCCATCTGTTTATCTTCTGTCCTCAGATCACTGTATGTGCTGGAGTCGAGACTTGCTTTCGGGGGGATTTGCTGATTGACTATTGCTGCCTGAACGTTTCTGCTCTCTCTTCTCTCTTCCAAACTGTCCTTTCAGAAGATTGACAGCAGGCCTCTGGTGCTTTCCATTCCACTGAGAAATGACCTGAAGTGGGTGTTTTGAAATAATAGTGATCCGTGAGCATAAATAAGAGTGTGAGTGTTTCTGCTGAGAGCCGCGAGAGACAGTCTTACCAAAACATGCCAAAGAAATGTGCAAAGCCTAGAGAGATCTCAGAGTGAAATGCTACATGTGCATGTGGAAGCATTATGCGCACACATACTGTACACAAAGATAAACCTAAGCATGTCAGAAGTCATTTAGCATCAAAAGGCTATCTATATTCATAGAAAAGTATAGTTGCATCTTTGGGAACGCAGTCTGACGCATATGAAGCCTGCAGCTCAGACTGAATTTCAGTCAGGTTCATCCAAACTAAACAAATGTGCCCTTTCTTTCTTTTCGTTTCTCATCCCTCCACATTTTAAGATCATGTTCATTCATGCTAATATTTATCAGAAATTGTACGTATTTTCAAAAATTACAGATATTGAAATGTATTTGTTGATATTTTTAAGCAGAGAACTAAATAGTTATAGCATGAAACTGTAGTAAGATGGAGAATTAAAGCATGTCTTTTTTTAAAACCCTGTTTTGTTTATTTGTTTTACCAGTTTGGTTTGGATTTTCATTAGTTTTTTTGTGGGGGAGGTCTTTTCTTTATGGATGCTCTGCAAATGAGAAAAGAAATGCTAAGTAGGATAGATCATTGCATGGTTGAAAGGAAGTAGAGAAAGGGATTTGGGGAAGGTAAAATCAGGCAGGCTTTGAGAGAGAAAAAGATTTGATTTTGCAATTTGATGGTAACAAGGTTTGACAGTGGGTGCAAGAAAATCAGAGCATATTACAAAGGAGCTTGAATGTATCAAACGCATACAGCCCAGCTTGCAGCTCCCATCCACACATATGAAGCATGTACTCTTATGCAGATAGTACGTTGAAACGGATAATCATCATACATTTCCTATTTGTGTGTGTCTATGCAAGTTTAGGAGGTGTGACTGTAAAAAAAAAAAAACATGAGCAATTTAATTTTTTGAAACTCTTTTGTGTACAGTTACATTACAAATTAGATGCATCTGATCTATCTATATCTATATACAGTATATATACATATATATACAGTATATATATATATATATATATATATATATATATATATATATATATAAAGTATATATATATATATTCTTAGTTTTCCTTTTAGTTGTTTAATTGTTTCTCTGGTATATTTTATTGGCAGGGGAGTAGTTTCTATAAAAGCAGGACCAAAGAAGTCGCGAATCGCTAACAATGTTTAGATATGAAAACACCTTGAAAGCTGAAAAGGGGTTTAGGAAGTCACCAAAAAAAAAAAAAAAAGTGCATGGATTGGCTTGTTAGTTTGATGCCTTATTTTGTTTGAGACGGAAGGAAATTGAAATTGCTTCAATTTGTGGAAGGGACCAGCTTGTCTCTCCCGCTCTCTTGTTTTATTAGGATACCACAGAGAATCAGACACTTGCAGGTTTTGTCTCAGAGTTTGGAGACAGGAACACAGACCATCAGTTTTCTTACCAGTACTGTAAATGTTTTCATAATGCTACTGCGACAGGTTTTTCTACCATTCCACCAAATGCCAATTTCTGCAGGTTTTTTTATCTTATTTTTTGTACGTAGTGTGATTTTAATATTCATGTTTAAGTTGAAATTGCTGATTTAATTTGATTTATTTTAGAATTGGTTTTTATTTTCCCGCTCTTCGCTCGACTGTTTATCTTCATCAGACTTAATTTAAAATGGCTTCCAGAAAAGTCTGGTTTTCCAACCACGTTTTGGTACACGTCAATTTTTATCAGTCTTTTTTTTTTTTTTTTTATAAAATTACCAGGCGATGATGTTTAAAGTGCCAACTTCTTCTCCTACCGGCTTTTTATTTTCATTTTTATTTGTTTAAATGAGCGATAATTCATTTTTTATTCAGTTTTTTTTGTTTGAGAACTATGTAATTACAATACTATGCATTGCCAATTATCAAGTAAGGACTGAGAGAGACAAAGTACACCCATAACCATCCAAACTATTACTCAATTTCTGACCTTTATTTTATTTTATGTGGATTTGTGCACATTTTAAACTTGATTTGAAAGTTGTTTTCAACAATGGATATCCCTATGGGCTCTAAATAATTGATAAGAGAGAGTTTTGGGTGCATTCTCTCTCATTCCTTGACAGTTTCTTGTGTATCTGTCACATATACGTATATATAGTGATATATCTTGTATGTTTAAATCTATTTATAGGGTGCCTTTTGCAGATTGGGTTAGTTTTCATAATCTCATTTTCTTTTAGTTCAGATGGCAGACACTGCCTTATCTGGCCTCTCCTCATTTCAGTGTTAATTGCTCATCTGATATTTGGCTCAATGCCCATCAAATTTTAGCAGTTCCACTCATTTTTGCTCTCCGAAATGCCTGAGCTCTTAATGCTGAGTGCTCTTTGTTAGATCTTTTAAACTCTCTGCAATCCATGACCGTATTTTTATGTCATTTCTTGTACAGGAGTCCACTCAATACAGGCATTCTATTGCTGTCTGTCTATATAAATGATTATGCAAGGACTATTTTGTGTATTTGGGCTTTGATTTAATATGTAAGATACATCAGAAAAATGTAGGTACGTTTTTTTATTATAATTTTCTTTTCCTTTTTTTTAAATAAATGATCTAAAAATGACTTGAGCTGTTGTTGTCCTTATTTTCAGCAGAGTGTTTTCATCTGCATGTATGAACCACAAAGTGAAACAGCAGAATGGGTGGGTGTAGATGATGCAGGAAAGAATGACAAACACTCAAACGGCTCATTTCATACCTAGCAGCAGTTGATTTTCAATAGTTAATTTGGATTATCAGAGAAAATGGGGTTCAGGCTGGTGCTTTTCTTGTCTTTCTTTGCAGGTAGGTGTGGACACTGTTAAAAATAATACTCAAATACTGTTTCATTTTTTTAAATTTAAATTTGAAGTTTAATTTACTGTGCTACTTCTGTGTTCTTGTACATTGCTTATTTTGCAGATTCTAAAAATTATTGAAAATTATTTCAAGTAATGCTTTTCAGCATTGAGAATTTGGTTTTAAAGTAAGCCAAGCTTTTATATAGAAACAAAATACATTGAAATAAAAATGTAGAGTTTTTAGAAAGCATACAGTGCAAACAAAATTGTTAATGATTTTTATAAATTACAGTATTTAACTGTAATATGAACTGTATGCAGTTTTGCAGTATGTTACTGTGTTTTAAAGTTGCATTGTGAAAATTGCTGTATTTTTACAGTGAAAATATACATACAATTCTGAAAATATACAATGAGTAAATGTGAAAACAATATTTTTGCTGTATTTGGATTACAGTAAGTAACTGGCGAACTGCTGCCAATATGTTACTGAAGATTCTACAGGAAAGTGCTAACTTTGTGTGTGTGTGTGTGTGTGTGTGTGTGTGTGTGTGTGTGTGTGTGTGTGTGTGTGTGTGTGTGTGTGTGTGTGTGTGTGTGTGTGTGTGTGTGTGTGTGTGTGTGTGTGTGTGTGTGTGTGTGTTTGTGTTTGTGTGTGTGTGTGTGTGTGTGTGTGTGTGTGTGTGTGTGTACCATTTATTTACACTTTCAAATTATATTATGAGGATTGACCTCTGCTCTTACAACTCATGATAATTTCATGAAAATGTAACTGTAGGCTTTTACATTATTATAAATCATTCAGTACAAAACAATTACTGGCAGCTTATTCTTTTATATAATGGAGAATTTCCGAATACTTAGAATAAAAAATATATAAATTCACGTTTTCTTTGCCTTTTTCTTTTTTTTTTAATTTCTTTTCAGCATAAAAAATATGAGAGCAGAGATTATGGGTCTACAATGAATTTGATAGTCACAAATCACCAAATATAGGAGACTGTTGATTTACAGTTATTTTTTACATGTGGCATTTATAAAAATAAAAAAACTATCAAAAGAATACAAGTGGTTTGATGAATTTTATTATTAAAATGCTGCCTTTTAATAATTGGATGTGGATTAAACAGTAGATGTACTAAATTGATGTATTTAATAAACTACCGAAGAGCAAATTTCTATCTGCACGTCTGTGTTCTGCTTCACTGAAGCCGATTTCCTCTCAGAGCAGCTGTTTGCATCTTACTACTACCATCTTCCCCTTTTTTACATTCTTTTTTTCAGTGTGACTTTCAAATTTTAAGGGTATAATTAAATTTTTCACTGTCCATGTATGACGCCAAGCCGTGTGTATATATAGTACTCTGTGGGTAGAAAGAGTATGGTTTAGCTAATAGATTTCAACATGCTGATATCATGTGGACTAAACTAAATGCCACTGAGTGAAGAATAAAGCTGAATGTTAAGCTGCTTTAATACACAAAGTATGTTGGTCACACTTTACAATATAGTTACAGTAGATGATGTTTACTAACATGATCAAGTAATGAACTACACATTCATGGCATATTTTTATTTATGTTGATGTTAGTTAATTGAAATAAAGTCATTAATTTATTAAAGCACAACTATAGATGCTAATAGTAGTAAACACATCAGCTAATGGAACCTTAGCGTGAAGTCATGGCTGAAGTATTTATTCATGCATGCAGTAGTCAACAATTCAAGTGAATTAAAACGGTTTTCCTAAAACTATTGAACAACACCCATTCTTGTTTTAGAACAATTGTGAAAGCCTTTTTTGATCCACTTCAAAGGTTGTCTACTGTATACTCATCTTAACCCTTGTAAGCTATTGGGGATGTTTTCATCCACTCTGGAGTGATTTTGAGTCTGGCCAACACTTCTGTGTTTCGCTAGGAGAATGATTTTTGGTGACAGTCTTATTTTGTCTTATTTTGACACATATTTTGAGAAAATGCTTTGATTTGAAACTTCATAGAGACACTCTGGGCAAATTTTCTACCCTTTTGTTATGTTAGGGATGAAAACATCCACTAAATTAAACTGCTGTAGAAATGCATCTTTTTTTTCTTTTTTTTTTTTTTTTTTTTTTTGCTTAAATCTGTTAATCAACCCTGATCAGAATTACTAAATTGTTTAAAAAATTTCAGCATTTTAACTCTTTAATTGCCATATTCATAAATGCTGAAAACAAAACACAAAATTTTGTATTATCAATATAAAAAAGTAATTGTGGACTGGATTTATTTTTTTTTTTTAATCTTTTATCAAAGTCTTGGACATGTGAAATGAGTCTTTTTGATGCATTGTCTCTGATTTAATTCATTTTCCCCCTAATTTACTGCTGGGGGCTGCTTTTCCCCCATTGACTTCCATTATAACAACTTCTTTGATTACAAGAGCATGACAGCATATATTCATACATTATTGACTGTTGGTGGTTTTCCCTGTTGGGAAGAGGTCAAATTTGTCATTTTTACTGTTGATCATCAGTTGGCACCATTAAACCTTTAAATAGGCCTGTGCAAAAAAAAAAAAAAAAAAAAAAAAAAAGCTTAGTTTCTGGATTTTATATGGAGTATAGCATCAAATTAAAGCGTGTATGTGAGTGTGTGAAAGTGTGAGAGCGACTTTTATGCACTTAGCTTGATGCATCTGAGAAAATCAAATCTGCATCTCAGAACTACATGGAGTAAATAAAAACAAAGTCTGTATTTAGACGCCATCAAATGTGGTTGAAATGGAAGTCATTGGGGCAAAAACAGCCACCAACTATACATTAGGGAGAAAAAAAATGAAAATTGTTACTTATCGTTCACATGTCCAAAACAAAAATGAAAAAAAAAATCCAGTCCACAATTACTTTTTAGATTGAAAACACGTCATTTTGTGTGCTTTTTTTTTCACCAAATCAGTGACATCATTTGTCAACTTGGCACTTAAAGAGTTAAAATCCTGTCATTTTTAAAAACACTTAGTAGTTTTGATCAGGACTGAAGTACTGATTTCTACAATAGTATCTGAATGCAGCCTTTATGATGCTGGCTGATATTGCATCACTCAGCGATGCAATGTCAGACTCAATGGAGCAAGTGACCTCACTGTGATGGGTAGGGTTAGGGGTGGGGTTAGGTGAGCGCATTAAAAAGCATTGGATGCAGCTCAGATTGCACTGCACCGAGCCTGCAGCCAGACCCCTCCATTTCTGCGGAAAAAAAGTCCAGCAGTTTAATTCGGTGGATGTTTTCATCCCTAACATAACAAAAGGGTAGTAAATTTAAACAGTGCACAAATGTTAAAGACTTGCAACTGGCTGTTTAAAGTACCCATGTTGTGCTGTTTTAAAGGACTTTAATTTTGCTTATAATACACACTATTACCTCTTTTCTCACATTAATCTTTCATTAGGAATGATTTTAATCAGAATGACAAAAAGCTGTTCATGTCAACATGGCTATTGTCTGATATGGCTCATTCAGCTGTCAAGTCTTCTCTCTGACACCCACTCTGCTCTGATTTGTCGGAACAGTTAACAATATCATTTTAACTGCATATTTTGTGGTCTTTTGTTTGTTTGTTTTTTTGTCTTCTGTATAAGCTGTTCTCAGTGGTAAACTGGAAGATCTACAACTGGAGCCGGATGAGCCATTACTGCGTGTGCAGGTCTCTCAAGAAGCCACAGTGCGCTGCTGCTACCGCTGTAAAGAAAGCCCTGAAGTCAGCTGGATCAAGAATACTCCCGCCATCAATGGCACCACAATGCCTGACTTGGTAAACTTTACAAAGAATGTGATGAACAAACCAGAGGGTGAAAAAGATGGAGTTATATGCCATTCGCTGGTCTTCAAAAGCGTCAGTGTCAATGATATGGGCCTGTATCAGTGTAAACTCAAGCACGGTTTACTTACCTTTTTTTCCCATGGCACCTTCCTTCAAATATACTGTGAGTAAGATCATACTTGTTTATAAACTCTTAAAAATGAACAACTTACAAATAAACCCAATGTTAGGTCAAATATGGACACTCGTTTAGGATTAAAGTGTCATTTACAGTTTTTCTCACAACATTTCACGCATTTCTCACAACACTTTACATTTGCAAAACAGTTAATGCATTTCTCAAAACAATTAGTCATTTGTGCACATCATAGCAGTTTCCCATTCCTATCAACGAATTGCAAATGCTTTTGGTCATGCATCAATTGCTTTCATACAACTCTCTGCTGTTTATAACATTATCATTTGCTCATGTAAATGAACTAAACTTGTGAATGCTGAATAGTCATTCCATATAAAAGTGATAGTCCTCATTTCATTACTTGAGTCAGTACATACAAAAATGTTGAACTAGTAGTCAAAATCTGTCTTGCTAATTATTCTTTTTTTTATATTATATTTTGAAATACGACAGAAAAAAAGAAGATTTTAAAACCATTATTACATCAGATCTTCCAATATTATATATGGGTTAGCAATGTTACACATATATATCTTGGCCAGTGGGAAATATGGTGATCTTGCAGACGATGACAGGGTTATACATTTAAACTGTTATCCTGGGCATTTGACAAATAATTAAAAAAGGGTTTCCAGGTGGCTTCGAATCCAGCAATGTTATTAGAAAGATTGTGTCTTTGTCTCTCTAATTGTAAAGTGGTAGAGAATTCTGAAGCCATGATTTAAAAGGTGGTCTTGATGCCTTTTTCCCTTTTTTTTTTTTTTTTGCTAACACCATTCCATATTGAACAGCTTTTTAAAA